TTTCCATATTTAAGATTATATCCTTAGGCTAGATTCCTAGAAGTAAAATATTTGGTCAAATGGGAGGCAGATTTTCAACGATCTGCTAAAATTTTTTCCAAATAATACCGTCAAAGTGTTTTCCAAAAGGGTAGTATCAATATTACTCTTTGACGAGCAACATAAAGAGTAGACATCTCATTGACTATCAAAAGGCAAACAAACAAAAAAAGGTATTTTTGAGTAGCTTTGGTTTCCTTTGATTACTCATGAGGTTCGACTATGTCTCTCTCTTCTTTTCACAACTGTCAATTTGTTTCCTATGTACACATATTCACTTGGATTTCAATGGTTTACTCACTAATTTCTATGAGTTCTCTGTACATTATCGCAAACCTTACTCTATCATATTTATGAAAATACTTTTCTATTCTATAATATTATTTAAAGTAATAAAAAATTAAACTTTATTATACTAACTTCCATTTATGAGGGCATGTTTCAATGAACTATATTACTACTGTATATTTTGCATATGTGAAATCATATTATGCACAGGAATAATTTATTAAAAATCCTCATTCTTTGATCTCCCCATGGTTAAAATTGCTGTTGATCTGGGGGTGCCTGGGTGGGTCAGTCAGTTAAGCATCCAACTTTGGCTCAGGTCACAATCTCACGGTTTGTGGGTTCAAGCCCTGCATCGGGCTCTGTGCTGACAGCCAGCTCAGAGCCTGAAGCCTGTCTTTGGATTCTGTGTCTCCCTCTCTCTCTGACCCTCCCCTGCTCACACTGTCTCTCTCTCTCTCTCAAAAATAAATAAAACATTAAAAAAAATTTAAATTGCTGTTGATCTGTCCTTATCCATACCAGCCTGTTTTTATAATAAACTTTATTGTGACAGGCAAAACTAAATTAAACGTTAAAACATGAAATAGAATTGCTGTTGAAACAAGAAACTATAAGTTTTTATGTTAGTTAATAAGAAATCCTAAGAAGTTGTTGTTCTAATCTCCAAAGTGATGGTATTTGGAGGGGAGTCCTTAGACATGGCATTAGGTCATGTGGGTGAAACTTCACAAACAGATTTAGTGCTCTTGCCCCTTCCTCCATCAAGGACAGAGCAAGAAAGCAGCCATCTATGGACCAGGAAGCAAGCCCCACCAGACAGCAAATCTGCAGGCACCTTGGTTTTGTACTTCCCAATTTCCAGAACTGTGAGAAATAAATTTCTGTTGTTTATTTTTTTTAATTGAAAACATTTTTAATGTTTATTTATTTTTGAGAAAGACAGAGAGACAGAATGCAAGCTGGGGAGGGGCAAAATCTGAAGCAGCCTTAAGGCTCAGAGCTGTCAGCACAGAGCCCTACATGGGGCTTGAACTCATGAACCATGAGATCATGACCTGAGCTGAAGTCGGATGCTTAACCGACTAAGCCACCCAGGTGCCCCAAATTTCTGTTATATATAAGCCACCCAACCTATGGTATCTTTTTTCATTACAGCCTGAAGACAGTAAGACAGAAGTTGGTACCAAGCAGCGGGGTGCTGCCGTAATAAATACTAAAAAATGTAGAAGAGGCTTTAGAACTGGGTTATGGAAGACTTTTGAGGCTGGAAGACTTTTGAGGCTGGAAGACTTTTGAGAAGTCTGCTAGAAAAAGCCAGCATTGCCCTGAAATGATGGTTAAGGGCCATTCTGGTGAGGGCTCAGAAAGAAAAGAGGAGAGCTGAGAGAAAGTCTCAGTCTTCTTACAGAATAACTAACGATGAACAGAATGTTCATAGGAATGTAGATGGTAAAGGCCATTTCGGTGAGGTTGCAGACAGGAAAGAGGAACACAATGTCGGATTGGGAGAAAAGGTGATACTTGCTATAAAAGTGGCAAAGAACTGGGCTGACCTGGGTTTGTGTTCTTGTGTTTTTGTGGAAGGTAGAACAAGCCAGTAATGAAACTGAATATTTAGCTGAAGTTATTTCTTTAGCAAAGTGTTGAAGATGTGACTTGGCAACTCCTGACTACTTACAGTAAAAGGTGAGAAAGCAGAAATGACTCAAAGATGGAATTGCTAAGTAAAAGGGAAACAGAACTTAATAATTTGGAAATTTTTCAGTCTATTCATATCCATATTGCCAAAAAATAAGCACACTGACAGAATGGCCAAAAGACCCTTTCATAAGGACATTGGTATAGACCAACCATCTCAACAGAAGGCACACATTAATATTCAAGACAGAAGAAGAATGACCCAAAAGTGACTCAGAGACCATCGGGTTGCTACTCCCATCATAGGCCCAGAGCAAACTGGCCCAGGGAAAAATATGGCTGCTTCCACCCAGCTTTCAAAGGACAGGGTCACCTGGTAGATCCACAGGTGTGGCACCCCAGCCCAGCAGAGCTGCACCCCCACTGCGGGGCCGTCCCACCAGGCCATGGGAATGATGTTGCCATCCCAGTGGGTTTGGAAGGCAGAGCACCAAGCCAAGAGGATTATTCTCAAGCCCTGAGGTTTAATGCTATTTGCCCTGTTACATTTTGGTCCTACTTGGGACGTGTTACGCCTTCCTTCTTTCCTATTTCTCCCTTTTGGAATAGATATGTCTATCTTAACATCCGTCCCACTGACGTATTTTGAAAGCATATAATTTGTTTGGTTTCAGAGATTCACAGCTGGAAAGGAATTTGCCTTGGGATGAATGACATCTTGAGCCTGACTCATATCTAGTATAGATCATATTTAGAGGAGACTTTGGACTTCAGGCTTTAGAGTCGATGCTGGGATAAGTTAAGACTTTGGGACTCTTGAGATGGAAGAATGTACTTTGCATGTGAGAAGGACATGAATTTTAGGGGGTCAAAGGCAGAATAGTATAAACTAGAACTGTCTCCAGAACTGTGAGACATAAATTTCTGTTGTTTGTCAGTCCTCCAGTCTACGGTATTTTTTTTTTTTTTTAATAGCAGCCTGAACAGACTGTGACAACAGCCATAGAGGAGCTACTGGTGGCAAAAGGGTCAAGACCTGGACATAAATTCTCATTCGGGAGACTTACCCAAGACAGGGGTAGTGATGAAGTGAGTTTTATTAGTCAGATAAATAACTTATCCAGAAAGTACAGTTCACCATTATGGGGTGGCAGGAGGAATGCTCATGCACCCATGAAGAGAGAGTGTTTACAGCCATACACAGAGTGGGTCACTATGACTGACACTCATTTAGATGCTGATTAAGTCCTAGACACTTTACAGTTGCTACTTCACCTGATCAGGAAAGGAAAGGCTTTCTATTGATAATCCCACTTCACTAGGCAAAGGCAGGGATTCCAGGACTGAGGAGGATTAGCACAAGTCAAGAGTAGCTACGAGTCAGCAACATGGATGGACCTTGAGGGTGTTATGCTGAGCGAAATAAGTCAGGCAGAGAAGGACAGATACCACATGTTTGCACGTATAGGAGGATTAGGAGGAACTTAACAGAGGACCAAGGGGGAGAAGAAGGGGGGAAATAGTAGGGGAGAGGAAGAGAGGCAAACCATGAAAGACTCTTGAATACAGTTTGAGAACAAACTGAGGACTGATGGGTGTTGGGGGAGAGGGGGGAAATGGGCACGGAGGAGGCCACTTGTGGGGATGAGCACTGGGTGTTATATGGAAACCAACTTGACAATAAACTGTAAAAAAAAATAAAAATAAAAAAAAAAAGAGTAGCTACAAGTCAAGAGAGACTAGATATCTGGTCAGTATCCAAGGCAGGGACTCAGGATCTGTAAATAAGGCAGACTTTGATCCTGACACACCAGTACAAGGTGGGAAACAGGTATCAGGGGCATAGCAGAAGAGTGGCTATGTAAATTGGGACACAAGTTTGAGGTCAATCTTATAAGGTTGATGGTGTTGAATTTGCTGAGAACAAAGGAAACCCACAGCTCTTTAAATCAACTGGGATAAAGACAGGATCCTTCTAGATCCCAAGACCACCAAAACCCAAAGCTACCTCTGCTGGATGAAAGCAGATAGGTGGGTTCTGAGTAGCCTCAACACACTGTCTGCTCGTGGTCTTGGTGGCCTTCCTCATTTAAATCTCAGGAAACCACCTACACAGTCACATACTGTACAACATGTGACCAAACAGGGCTCTTCCTGATTGATCAGTTCCAAGAAACTGAGTCTGAGAAAGTGGGTCTCAGACAAAGGTTATTCCTCATCTATAGCTCTGGCCACGTGTCTACACCCTGAATGTCACTTCAGCTTCAGGGATAAGAGTTCTAGATAAAGACTAAATTGTCTGCAGGAATCTGGTTGATTCTCTCTCATCAAACTGTAAAGCCAGTGGGAAAAGCAACTTTCTAGTGTACAACAGGATAGTGTAGTAGTAGTATTCTTCAACTATTCCATTCTTCTGCCACTCCGGTTGATAACCACATCAAATCATAGGAAATAATGACACCTAGTGTCCAAAACTGTTATTCTTCTTTGAATATGTTGTGATTGGTTAGGCTATGAATACAGCTGGAGCAACATGGACCTAAACTCACACATCTTTACAGAAAGAGAATAAGTAAAAACGTAATTATTCATTTGTCTGCTCATAACACAGCGGTTTTCCCATTATCTTCATTCTCTCAAGCCTGAAATGAAGTCTGTTTCCTTTTGGGTAGGAGGTCAGTGCAAAGACTGTCAAAACTGCACAGAAGTAGTAGCAGGGGTGACCCCGGACTCCAGCAGAACCACACTACCAGTATCCAAAACCAAACAGAAGCAACCCAGCATTAACTTGGGGACTGGATTTTCTCAAGCCCGAGTAGTAAATTCAGTAAGGTCTTAGATATCTAGTAAAACAGAGTCAATGTTCTTTTAAGCCAAGCTTCAAAAATGGCTCCATTTATAATATCCTCTTTTGGGGAGCCTGGATGGCTCAGTCGGTTAAGCATCTGACTCTTGATCTCAGCTTAGGTCTATAATACCCTCTTTAATTGTTGAGGCCACTGTATAGAGTTCCCTTTGGAATCTGGACTCACCTCTCCTATTCTTTTCTTCAGGTTTTCTTTTCCCATGTAGGAAGCCTGAAGGGAGATGACATTCTCTTCTTTTTGAATCAAAGTTGTCAAGACATTTTTAAAATTCTGATATTGTTTTAAGAGCTCCAAAACTCTTTCACATTGGTCAAGGCTATGGGGGGAAAAAAAAGTAAAACAAGTAAATCTCTAAGAATAGTAAAACCATTCTCTCTCTTTGTAAGTATCCTACAATAACGATTAATACATTAGAGAAGGATTTTTTCCTCTTGACATGGTTTAGCATATTGTTTTACCAATTTAACTAAAGAATGATGGTATATATAGTTATCTGGAAAATGGGTGTATAAATAAGCACTGGAGTATGATTTTCACCAGGTCAATGGGAAATAAATCACCAGATGTAAGCTCTAGAAAGAAACACAGGATTCATCATTTTAAGGAACCAGCATCTCAGTTTTATCATTAACCAAAAAATATCTTGGAAAACAGAGCCTGCCTAGCACTATTCTTGGAGATTCAGCAAGTCACAGTTTTTTTTATGTCTATTTGACTCATTCTAGAGTTAGCCCTTTTAAAAAAGTAAAGTAGGACAAATAATGTGACAGTTAGGATACCTGATTTCTAGTCATGGCTGGTCATGGGACCTTAGAGAAGTTACTTTAGCCTCTCTGGAGCTCAGTTTCTTTCCTCTATAAAATCAAAGGGTGGATGAGATCAAATACCACAGACAGGGTTTATCTTAACTACCATACACTCAGGTTCCAGTAGAAAACAGGAGGTGTACTCAGACAGAGTTCTGTGTAAAAGGACCACTGATGTGAGCAGAGTTAAGGGAAACTTCCAGGGAGCTGGGACACTAACCAGAGAAAAATAGATACACCACTCAGCCTCAGAGGAAAGGGGGAAGTGCCCTGAGCCAGAGAGGAGGCTGACAGAAAGGGCCAGAACCTCCTGCTGGAAAGGGAGAGGGTTAAGATCAGCCTGACCTCTCTCTCTGCTTGTCTTCAAATCTCCTACTAGCACCTCCCACTTCCTGTCCCAACTGGACCCCTTGGCCTGGCTGGTACAGTCAGTTAGGGATCCCGACCACTTCCCCCTCCAGGCAGAGAGTTAGGGAAAGAAGGCATGGATGGAGAACATTCAGCAGAATCACCAACTGGTGTGATTTAGTTAAGGACTAAGTTAAAATAGGGACATTACCATGAATCATCTGTGTGGGTGCAATATCATCACAAGGGCCCATATTAGAGGGAGACAGGAGGGTCAGAGTGACAATAGAAAAAGAGATGAGAGAGGGGGAGAAAGGGCCAGATTAAGATTTGAAGATGCCATATGGCTAGTTTTAAAGATGGAGGAAGGGGGAGCACTGGGTGGCTCAGTCGGTTGAGTGTCTGATTTTGGTTCAGGTCATGATCTCACGGCTCATGAGTTCAAGCTCCACGTCAGAAGACCCCACTTCAGATGCTCTGTCTCCCCGCCTCTGCCCCTCCCCTGCTTGTGTGCATGCTCTCTCTCTCTCAAAAATAAACACTTAAAAAAAAGATGGAGGAAGGGGACACACAGCAAGGAAAGTAGTAGGAGTCAGGAAGCTTCTAGAAGCGAAAGAAATGGATTCTGTCCTAGAGCCTCCAAGAAAGGAAGGCAGCTTGATTTCAGAAATTCCAACCTCCAGACTGTAAGATAAATTTGTGTTGCTTTTAAGCCACTAAACTTCTGGTAACTAGTTACAGAATAACAATAGAAAACTAATACAGGTAGGGTAATAATAGTAATAAAAACACTGCTTATTTGTTATTCCTCTTAGATAAACCTCCTAAATTCATCGAGCAATCAAGCATCTAGGATTCCAGATCTTGCCCCTGACACTGGTCCCATGAGCTTCCAGTATGAAATGCTTAGGTTTGCTCCTCTTTTAGATCCATGGGAATGTGTTTTCAACATATTTCAAAAAGTTAATTGTGCTACATACAATTTTTCAGATTTGGGAGGGATTTTTTTCCTTACCACTCAGTGACCGAAGCTTTGGTATTCTCCCACAAAAGTGCCGTATTTTGGCACTGCTGATTCAGCGATTTTTCTCTGCCGTCTCTGAACTGCGGAAGAGAATTGACCATTTCTTGCAAGCATTTCTTCTCTTCTTCATATTCATCTAGATCCTTATCCAGTCTCATTAGTGATTTTTTCCTTGATTATGAAAGAGAAAAGTGTGAGAGCCCATTATTGGCCAATCTGACTCAACACAAATATCGGCAATTTGGGGGAGGCATGCTAACTTTGATTTGCCCTCAAATTATTATGCCAAAAGTACACATTCCTATTAAAGAGTTCACAGGCCCTCTGCATTCCCAGAATACTAATTTGGTATTTTAAACATGATAAATATTCAAAACCACATGTAGTAACATTTTTCTGTGGTGAACACACTTGTAAAGAAAGTCATATGCGTATGAGAGAAAACAAAGACTATGAGTGTGTGCAAACAGGAAAGAGAGCATGGCATGGAGAGAGGACAAGAGTCAGGTGGTCGTGCCCTGCAAGTTCCTAAGGAAGAGCAGAGGAGGCCAAGGAGAACGGACCATGCACAGAAGTCTCGCATTTCTCCCTTGTATACAAAAAGCTCTTCCACATCAAAAAGGAGTCATTTGACCTAAGAGTTTTAATCTGCAACCGAGCCCTAGAAGGGTTAACTCCATTCATCGAGGTCTACATTGCTTTTCTCAGGCACTCACTTCTCTGCCTCCTCTCTTCCAATCCTCTCTGGAATCCACTCCCATAAGGATTTCACTCTCTACCTGATCCTCCAAAACTGCTCGTCAAGATCTTCGGTGACTTCCACGTCACTAAACCCAGGTTCCATTCCCAGCCTTGGCTGCCTTCACTGGTCAGCAGCGTCTGATACAGCTGACCACTTCGCCTTGTTGAAAGGTCTTCTCATTTGACCCCCGGACTCTCTTGATCTTCCTCCTCCTATACTGGCTACTCCTCGGTATCTTTGCCTGATACCGAGTATCTTTGCCTCCTCATCTCCCTGATCTCTTAACATGGAGTGCCTGGAGTTTACAGCCTAGACCTCTTCTGTTGTCTGTCTGACCTCACTCTACCGACATCTATCTCATGACTCTTAAACAGCATTCTAACTGCTGATGACCCTCAAATGACCCCCTAGCTCAGTCCCCTTTCTTGACTCCATCTGTTGTTGAGTCGTGTTGACGTCCTTATTTTAATGTCAAATAAGTATTTTGAACCTATCATTTCTAAAACTTGCTCTCTCAAAAATCAATAAAGCATTAAAAAGTGCTTTTTTAAAAAAGGGGGCTCCTGGGTGGCTCAGTCTATTTAGCATCCGACTTCGGCTCAGGTCATGATCTTACGGTTCGTGGGTTTGAGCCCCGCGTCGGGCTCTGTGCTGACAGCTCAGAGCCTGGAGCCTGTCTTTGGATTCTGTGTCTCCCTCTTTCTCTGACCCTCCCCTGCTCATGCTGTCTCTCTATCTCTCTCTCAAAAATAAGTAAAACATTAAAAAAAATTTAAAACTGAGCACACTTGATCAATACCTAATAAACGTCATTCTTTCTCATCTCAGTTAATGGTAACTCCATTCTTCTAGTTGCTCAAGTCGGAACTTGGAATGATTCTCGACTCCAATCTTTCTTTTATAACCTATGTACAATGTGTACATTTACCCTATATAACTGTGGACTCTCTCTTAAGAATTTATCCAGACTCTTAGCCCTTTTTGCCACCTCACCATTGGTCCATGCCATCATCATCCCTCACCTGGATTACTATCATAGATGAACTTAGATTTCCTGATCTTCCCTCGACTCCTACACTATTCTCAACACATTGGCCAGAGAGAGCCAGTTACAGTGAAAACTAAATCATTTCCATCTGCTCGGACCCCTCCGATGACTTCCTGTGTTACTTCAAGAAAAAGCCAAAGCTATCTCATGGCCCACAGGTTACCTGAGCTAGGCCCCATCCCACCCGTTCCCTCTCAGATCCCTTTTCATACTTCTTCCCCTCCCTGTTGACCTTCCCACCTCCTTGCCTTTCCTCAAACATGCCAGGCTCATTCTCACACGTACTGCTCCCTCAGTCTGGAAGGTTCTTCCTCCCAGGAGTCACTGGGCCAGCTCTCTCATCCCATCTGACTCAAAAGGTACTTCCTCAGTAAAAGTGTTCTTGATGACCCTTTTTGAATTACAATCCCTTCCTCCTCCTCCTCCATCCTTGTTTGATTCTTCTTCATAGCTTTTATCACTGTCAAACACAGTGACTATCTTACTCCTCTCACCAGATGAGACTCTATCAGGGATGAGAGTTTTTGTCTTTTGCGTTAACTGCTCTCTCCCCAGTACCTAAAGTAGCACCTGGCACACAACACGTATTTGTTGAATAGATAGCTAAATTAAAAATTAAAGCAATTTATTTGTTATCGATGTACAGTTTCCATGCATAAATTAACATGCAATTTATTACTTATCATTTATGAATATACAATAAATAACAAATTAGGAATGAGTTCAACACCTCACTACGAACCGGGCACTGTAGGAATAAAAGTCTCATTGAGGCTGTGAGCACAGGGCATATTCAGAGGGAAGAGCTTGGTCAGCTGAAGAGTCTCAAGAGAGCCCCGAGCCTGAGGGACTTGGTGGGGACAGGAGACAGGCTGTGGGAAAGATTTAGAAAGGGGAGGGGAGCGCCACAAAGGTAACTTGCTAACATTGTCACTTGCGGGAACTGGAGGCCGGCTCTGAACACGAGAATTAAAATAACAGCACTCATACAAAGGCTGCCTGCCTCAGTTTACCGCAATTCTGCTCAGTCTCCAGAATCAAAGCCAACCTTGGCTGACCTCTTGTACCCAGTCCCATGCCGTCCCACTCTGTCCCCTTCCCGAGCCTGCTGGGAGGAGAGCAGGAGACCAAATGATTCAGGAACAAGTAGGGACAGGGTGTAGCATGCGTATCTTCTACCACTTCTTTCTTTCTTTAGTATCCAATGTGTGGAGTTATTTAGGTCTTCCCTCATCACGAGAACCCCGTAATACAGATCAGAGCACTAAAGGGACTTCGAAGGAACTCAAGTACTTTACATACATCTTATTTCATTATTCCTTTGTCCATGAAATGTACACTTTAAAGAGGAAAAAATTATATAACATTTTGTAAAGGCACACTATCAGCAAAAGGGAAGCTTGTTTGAAAAGTCTACAGGGAATAGAATAGAGCAGGATGGAACAGAAGTAGAAAGACACAGAAAGAATTCCCTTCACCTAATACATACTGAAAATACGGAGAAGTATTACCCTGCATTGACGGACACGAGCCTTACCGTTGTTTCACAGCTGGAGCAGTGGGATCCTTAAGACTGATTTTACTGATCTGATTGTACACATCTTGAATATTTTTCAGGAGTTCATTATTTTTGAAAATACATGTCTCTAGTAATCTGTTTTCAGGGAACTCCTCCGGCACACCATAGCCACACGTCTCAAATAACGTTTCGGGCAAAGCATCAAGAAGTTTTTCACAGGTGTCGTCACCCCGTTCAGCATCTTTAAAGCTTATACCAAGCATCTTCAGACGTTTATCCAAATGTCTGGCCTTGTCCTTCATCAGATTGGTTTCTTCTTCTTTATTTTCTACTGTCAAAGTGTTTTCTGATGCCACCAGTGTATCTGGGGCTGAACAGTCTGTAACAAGCTCAGAAGAGAGTCTAGCTGTTCTCAGAGAAACTAGAAAGTCCTCCAGGGCTTTGAGGGCATCTTTACAATTCTGCACCTTGTGGTTCGTTTCTTCAAGTTGTGTTCTGTGTTTCAGTATGATATTCTGTGTTGCATGGAGATCAACTGGGTGTAATTCCTTTAATGCAAAGTCACCCCACTGGTCCAAATTATTACATACTTCAATCTGTTTTATGATGGAATCTTGGATATTCTAAAATAAAGTAAGAAATGCTGAAAAGTCTGAGGCAGAAAAATAAGAAAGACTGCCCATCAGAAATGCACCTAAACTCACAATGACTAGATTGCATCTGGAAAGCTGCTCCCGAGGTCTGCCAAGTCGGACAGGGTCCACAGAAGGAAACATTTTAATCACAAATGATCACAGGGCCCACCTGTTTCATTATCTGCTAACCTTCCTGATGTTTCAGTCTCCAAAAGAAAACAAGTTTATAAATCTACGGCTCCAGTGAAAATAGAGATTAAACTGTGGAGACATCTGTTTATAATTGGAAACATAAAACTTAAATATTTTTGATTTCAAATGAGAACTAGAAAAAGTAAACTACAGAATATGAGTCTAGTATAATACTTAGGATTTCAGTCATTGACGAAGATGTTCATAAGCAGACCTTCATTTTGAATTCAAAGAAAATACCTAATTATTTACTCCACAGTACTTACTTTCAAATTTGGGAGGAAGTAAAGAATTGAGAAATAAATAAGTCTAAATTACTGAAGACTTTCTGCCGTTGCTTATCATCTAACTATATACTATTGATGTATAATTAACAACCTCTAAAGAATTGATTTATTCTATGAGTGCACTGGGAAAACTTGTATTTACCCTCAGGTTTTGATAAATGCCGTCAGCATCAATGAGATGAAATTCTTGAATGGCCATTTCATGGAGGAGCAGGTCTGAGCCACAGAGAAGAAGTGATTCCTTCTCCACAGGTAACACAATCTTCAGCGCAGTCTCCAAAGACTCCATTCTGGGTGAAAAATAAATCCAGACATAATGGGAAAGGGCACCATAAAGATAATCTATACAACATACTAATGTCATCGTTTAACTACAAACAAAAATAATTATCCAGTAAGAATATATACAATGATATGTACAGATTATCAAATTAAAACCCAAACCCAGCAAAAAACAACAAAAAACACACAGAAACAAATCCAGCAATCCAAAATGCCAAAGAATGAGTTGTTTGCTATATCCACATATTCTTAATAGCTTAACAGAAACCACACTGAAGGGAAAATTGTTGTAAAACATACTGAGCCTTTCCTTACCTTTTGAAGTACAAAATGCTGAATGTAATTTAACTTTGCCTTTGATGACAAAGAAATGTCATTCTAAATACTAATTATTTTATTAGTGAAAATATAATAGAGTTCAAAGAAGTGGGCTCTTCTAATGATAAATGAAATGTGTGACCTTGGACAAATAACATATAGACCCTGAGCGTCCGTTTCCTCCTATGTAAAATGGGGATATATTCTGAGGAAACACATCCTATTTATAGGGGATAATAACAGCACTCTCACTTTGGAAATGGGAAAATTAAGACCCAGACAAGTTATGTGACATGGCCAAATTCATGCCCAAGGGCAGATGAGGGGGAAGAACATGGCCTTTAAAACTCAACAGAGTCTAAATTCCACCCAAGTGTCTGGCCAGTGGGGTGGATTGGTTAGGTTATGAAACTTCCCTGAGTATCAGTTTCCTCATCAGTAAAATGGCCATCATGACACCAACCAAATAAAATACTTAGTATAGTAGTAGCCTAGCTTAAAATAGCATTAAAATTTAGTAAATTTAGTAAATTCATGGTTAATAGATCTCAGAATTATACCTGGTATTTAGAGTCATCTGAAACTCTCTTTCTTTTTCTTTTAATCTCTCTCTTGCCTCTCTTATAAAAGGCTTCTTTATGTCACTCTCAAGCTCTTCTAACTTCAATGAAGTGATTTCAAACTCTTTCCAGCAAGCATCGGTGTCATTTTCTAAGACCTCGGTGAAACACATAAGGTAATCCGTCAACTAGAGGGTTAACAGGCATGCTTATTCTGTTCTAACAAAATGAAGCATTCACCAACTGTGAGCAGAAAGCTTCATATGAAAATACATTAAAATTATTTTTAGATCTAATTTCATTAATAAAATTCATTAATCAAATTTAACTTTAAACAAATTCTCAAAATATTTTCCAACCATCTACAAATAAAGTATCCTTCAGGGAACAGCGATCTTAACTGTGCCCTCAGTCAGAAGACCTATTCGGTGAAGTCAAAGGAGTCAACCACGAAGGACCCCAAACTTCCTTCCCGTAAGTCGATGCAGAGAATACAATTCAGAAAGGTAAGATATATGTAGGGGCTCCCGGGTAGCTCAGGTGGTTAAGCGTCAGACTCTTGATTTCGTCTCAGGTCATGATCTCACGGTTCATGGGATCAAGTTCCTGCTCAGGATTCTCTCTCTCCCTCTCTCGCTGCCTCTCCCCCACTCATGCTCGCTCTCTCTCTCAAAATAAATAAATAAACTTAAAAAAAAAGAAAGATACATGTTATGTAAGAATGGATATTCCGGTTTCTCCAGAATAATAATAAATCTTTGTTTCTCCCTAAACTAAAAAGAAAACTAGAGGGAACTAAAATTGTTTCTATCAAATAAGAAGTGACTGAAATTAAATTATGATTTATAATTAAACATGTAAAAATTCTATTCTATTGCAGCTCCTTATCCTGTTAGTGTTTTTTTTCTTTAAGGCACTACCACACAATTTCACTGAGTGCTGATCATTAGAATTTGTTCACTCTCCCCAAGGATTAGTACAGCTTTTATAACCAACTCATTATTCAGTTACTGGAGTAAGGTCTCAAGACAGTTTCTTAATTGTGATGAAAACGTGCTAAATCCATCACCTGAACAACAGAGATTTTAACATATTAATTCTGCTTACGCAGATGGAAAATAGGGAAAAGCCAGATGGTAGAGTGTGACTCAGGAGCTGGCACAATAAAGGGAAGATAACTATAAAATATGAGAAGGCGCTGTAGGCTCTCCTATGGTCCTTTTCTCCACCTGATGGGTGTTCTGTGAGGGTTCATTCTAACGCATGTGACAGTGCTGCCCTGCGCTACACAGATCCTCTTCAAAATAAGGAAGATCTTTACTTGTAGGGCCTACAGTTGGTGTGGCCAACACAAGACAGGTTTTTCTGCAGCTCCTGAGCCAAATGCAATACTTCTGATGGCTCTCCACAAGATTACCCACCAGAGCGAAAAATCCCTCCACTGCCCACCCCCTTGTTATTGCCCAGCATCAGACAGACAAGGTGACAATTTGGTCAAGATGATGAAGACTGGGGGCGCCTGGGTGGCTCAGTCGGTTAAGTGTCCGACTTTGGCCCAGCTCATGATCTCACAGTGTGTGAGTTCAAGCCCCGCGTCAGGCTCTGTGCTGACAGCTCAGAGCCTGGAGTCTGCTTCCGGCTCTGTGTCTCCTCCTCTCTCCGCCCCTCCCCTGGTCGCTCTTTGTCTCTCTTTGTCTCTCTCTCTCACTCTCTCTCTCTCAAAAATGAACACTAAAAACTTTTTTTTAAAAGATGATGATGACTGAATCAAATGTTCAGAGCCACTGGTTTTTCATGTATTGTTAATTTTATAGCCACACAGTTGGCTATTGGTTGAAATTTCCTTCAAACACAGTGTTTTGATCAATCCTTTTGAAGCCCTTATTCCTATCCTATACACAACCCAGAACTCTGCAAGCCACAGTATCTTGAGTACCAAATTAGAGCAGGAGGAATAAATTGGACCCTGGATCAAAGTCTTCCCTGGGTTTGGAACGTTAGTGCCAATCACTTTCTGGAATAGAATGACATTGGAAATGAAATCCAACAAAGAGAGTTCTTTGGAAACATCTAGCATATGTGACCTCAGCAAAAGTAGTGAATTCTATTCTAACGGTGGTATTATTTTCTAATAAGAGATAAAACTTCTCTAGCAATATTTTTAGTAATTACCTGTAGATCTGTCAGCTTAGCCTGGAGACAAGCACTACTCCTTACTTCGTCACTGGAGAAATCAGAAATAATTCTGGATTTGTTGTTTTGCAGGCACTCCTCAAGATTTTCTCTGTGGATATCATAGCTGGAAAAAAAAATTAAATGCAATGCTACTTAATTTTAATAAGAAGACAATTTTTTTAAATTACTGTTGATTGTACATGAGAAAATCTCAGGGAATTTCTGCTTAAGTTACCGGACTAGATGCAAAAATTATGACTAATGATTTAAACATGTAGTAAAGTATAACATGTTTGTATTAATGAAAGATTTGGGATGGATTTTCCAGTTATTTAAAAGAGTTACCTCTCTTGTAAACTACTAATAGATGCATTGTGATCCTTCTCATACTTCTCCGTAACACTTTCTTCCTGTTGAGGCTTTAACTTGGATTCCAGGCTAAACTTCTCAATTGATCCCAGTGCCTAAGCAGATATGCAAAATAGCAAACATAATATCTTCAATATACTAAATTGCCTGGAACAGATAAACATTTTATAACATAAAGGTATACCGGTAATTCTTTATACCCTCAACCAGGAGCTAATAAAATGTATTTGAAGCTTCTCAGGTCAGAGAAAGGCCTTCCCCCAGGACAGAAGAGATTTATTACACGGAGTCTCACCTAATTGGTGTATCAGCACAGAAAAGGTGTTCTCCCAGCCCCTAAACCCCTAAAAACTGTCTCTGCCTATGACCGCATAGCCTTAGTCAAAAGCCTTTGGAAGTCTAGCATGAAGGTCAGGCCTCTGAAATCAAATACCCCTTGTTCCTTCCCACAGCTTCAGACTGGCGATCTGGCCCATGACACACGGTCCATGCCCACTTACCTCAAATTCAAGAATTCAGAAAAGTCAATTTCCAAGGGAAGTAAAGGACATTATACTGAGAAAAAGACAAATAATAAATGAACTAGTTCATGAAGCTGGGGCCTCTGTACAGATTAAACTCAACCTCCTGGACCCCTGAATAGGAACGTGCACAAACAGCGTGTGTTCATAATGGCTGCAAATGGTCTCTTTCTGAAAGAACTGTTGTGTCCTCAGAGGAAGAAGGTATGCTCACTATAGCTTTGGTTCGTTGGATTGTTAATTCTTTGAAAACGAGTCTTCCTTACATTATTTCCTCAGCTGATGAAAATAATTAGATAACTAAAGCTAGCAGTGAATGGGAAGTGGATTGATATACACTTGGCTTTTGTCATTGGGTTTACTTCTAAAATACATTATCCATGGGGCGCCTGGGTGCTCAGGCGTCCGACTTCGACTCAGGTCATGATCTCACGGTTCGTGGGTTCGAGCCCCTCATCGGGCTTTGTGCTGACAGCTCAGAGCCTGGATCCCGTTTCAGATTCTGTGTCTCCCTCTCTCTCTGCTCCTCCCCTGCTCATGCTCTGTCTCTCTCTGTCTCAAAAATAAATAAACTATTTAAAAAAATTTTTTTTTAATAAAATAAAATATATTATCCGCATGTAACACCTGTTCAGCTGATGGCTGATTATCTGAGTTTGCAGACGCCACCGCACTGTGGGCACTTCTCCCTCCATTCTCAGATGTGCTCATGGGCTCCCTGGGAAGGAATCAAAATTGCACATTAAAACAGAGGAGGAAGCAGGAAGCCTAAAAGAGAATAAATAACACTCCTTGTCACTTGATTTTGCAAGGAGCTCTATCTTGTTTTCCCCTGATGTGTAGTTATTCTTAGGAAGCACTCACTTGTTTTTCGACAGACCTCCCACCATGGGCTGCAGCGTCGTATGAATCTCGGAGGCACATTTCCGAAGTCTTTCAATCTTTTGTTCATAATCTTTGAGGGCTCTCCTCACTTCTTGTTGACTCTTCTGTGAAGTCAGCTCTTCACACAGCTCCCGCAGGACATCCATGTGGTGATCTAGCTGGTACAGACCGCCTTCCTCAGAAAAGCAGGCCTGATTGAGGAAATAAAGCAGGAAATGTGTTTCAAATGAGTCTACGTGATTAGCCCACAAGGATTAGAAACTAACAGATGTGCGTGCCTTTAACAACATAATCTTTTATAGGCCATCCACTACGTGCCTGGTGTGGTAATGGGCACTGGGGAAACAAAGATGAGGAAGTCAGCCTGAAAGGGGTTCACCAGTCTAGTAATGCAGTGAATAAAACCAGAATATGTCACCCCAAAATGTGCCTTTTTTTTTTTTAAAGTAACCTCTATGCCCAGCATGGGGCTCAAACTCACGACCTCTAGATCAAGGGTCCCATGCTCTACCGACGGCGCCGGCCAGACGCCACCAAAAATATGCCTGTTTGATGTGAAAATTATTTGGAGCTTAAGGCAATTAAGAAACAGTAATCACAGGGGTGCCTGGGTGGCTCAGTCAGTTTAGCATCCGACTTCGGCTCAGGTCATGATCTCGTGGTTTGTGAGTTTGAGCCTTGCGTCGGGCTCTGTGCTGACAGCTCAGAGCCTGGAGCCTGTTTCAGATTCTGTGTCTCCCTCTCTCTGCCCCTCCCATGTTCATGTTATGTCTCTCTCTGTCTCTCAATAATAAATAAAAACGTTAAAAAATTAAAAAAAAAATAAAAGAAGGAGTAATCACAGAAAAAGCTCCATGCTTTCTGCCTAAAGGCTGGAAGTAAAGTCTCTTTTTATTAGTGATAGACTCTCATCAGCCCAGAAACAGTACCAGAGGAATCTGCAAACAAACCTGGTTAAACTAACCCTTATCTTTGTCTTGTCAATTCTTCACAAATACATGGTTTCTTTGTCTACAAGGTATAAAAAATTCCTTCTCTGGTCACTTTCTTTGCATCTTTATTCTCTTGTGAAGGCCCCCATGCGCATATAAAAGTTCAATAAAATATGTATGCTTTTCTCCTGTTCATCTGCCTTTGTCAGTTTCATTTTCAGGGACCCTCAAGGGTCAAAAAAAAAAAAAACCCACTTTTTCCTCCCCTACAGTGCACACAAATAATGTGCACGTAGTGTGACAAGTGTTGTGACAGAGCCACTGCCTGCCTTAAGGAGTCAGAGAAAACCTACTTCACACGCAGGAACCGTCTGAGGGAGACACGGGAAGAACGAGTCTGAGTGCTCCGAGTCAGAGCCAAGAGAGGTCACGCCTACCAAGGGGAACAGCCAAGAGGAAGAAAGCTCCAGGTGTTCTGAAAGAACAGCACTCTGGTGTGGCTGGAGGGCACCGCACAGGAGAAAGGAGGCCGAAGGCACGTCCAGCAGCCAGACTGTGGAGGACCTGCCTGGTGTTCTAAGGGGCTTAGAGATATTCTGGGAGTAACAGTAAGGCAGGGACACAGGGTTTGTGGTTCGAAGGGGTCTCTCCTTTGATGGGTCTGGAAGATGACGTGGCCGTCATCACAGGGGGAAAATACCCCAGGTCAAGGGCAATGGCAGCCCTGTGGAAAAGAAGCAAAAGAAGCAGGTGTTCTGGAGAGTAACCGACGAGGCGTGGCAACGGACGCCATCACCTTCGCCCGCTGAGCAGGAAGGAAAGGGGACCGGGAGGAGGGGAGTTCTCCGCCTGCAGTGCCTTCGTGACCAATGGATACAAAAGGAAGCAAAGTTTGCGAAGGAGATGTTATTGGCTGGTTTTGGACATGCTGAACTGGGGGTGTCTGAAGAGCACTGGTGACATCTACAACTCAGAAACAGAACCTGGACCTCAGAGGAGAGGGCTCAGCTGGAGATTAAGATTTAGGCACTCTCACTACAGAGAGGGCTTTATCATTAAAATCGCAGGAGGTGGAAAATCCCCTAGAGCAGGCATGAAACCAGCCGCAAATGGAGACTTGCAAAACTACAACATTTAGGTAACACAATGAAAACAGAGAAATTTGTGGGGCGCCTGGCTGCCTCAGTTGGTAGACTGCACGACTGTTGATCTCGAGGTCATGAGTTCGAGCCCCACGTTGGGTATAGAGGTTACTTTAAAAAGGAGAGAGAAAATGTGAATGACACTAAAAAGAAGCTCCCCAACCCCCAAAATACAATAACATAAGAGAAAGCAAGAAAGATTGATACTGGGAGAGCCACAGCAGTAAACAGTTTAAAGGAAAGAAGAGGGGTCAATACTGTCAAATACATAGAAGTACTCATAAAGGATGGGGGCCACAGAGAGAGCATGAGATTTGCCCCGGATGCTTACATCCTGATTTGCTATCTTTTTCCAAAGGCAGCACTTCTGAGGACACCGAGTCCCCTCAAAATCAACTTTGGGTACTTAAGCAACAGATGACCCAATTGCAACCAGAGTCTCAAGGGACAGGGGCCACTGAGCCTTAGCAAGGGAAATCATGAAATAATAACTTGATGCTGAATTTCTCTCATGTCACAAAAGCGAGAAACACAGGCTGTAGTTAGAACTCAAATCGTGTAAGGGATAATCCCCGGGAAACAGACTAGAGGGCTGAAGTAACTTTCAAAGCAGGTTTAATCCGAGGTTAAGGACCTACACAGCCATGTAAGATAAACTCCAAAATAATGACAACATTTAAATGGAAACAGTGGTTTACCTCATGTTCCCTGATGAGACCCTTGGTCCTTCCTCTGCGAATTAGTTTCTTTTCTTTATTTATTTGTTTTTCAAGTTTTGAAATACTGTCACTGAGTTTTCCTTTTTCAATGTCTATTTTCAACTGTTGACTGTACAAAGACATCTCATGGTGAAGAGACTGCAAGAAAAAAAAAAGCCCACAAAGGCACATATTAACTATGGGAAAAGAATACATTGAAAAGATTTTCAGCAAAAAACCCAGTAAAAATATCTGTAGTAACACAGGGTAAAACAAGAGTTTAAATGACATTCTAATTCATCCTTATGTCACTGGGGAGGATGTTTTAAAATACATCAGACCCAGAAACATATTTTCTTTTTCTTTCTAACAACTAAAACCTTAATATTAGCTATAAAAGATACCATGAAGAGAATGGAAAGACAAGGCTGAAGGCTGAGAGAAAACATATACGAAACACAACTGAGCCTATGGAGAAATAACATGGAACTCAAATGTGTGTCCTGAATGCGATTCCAAAATAGAAAAAAATGACAGTAGGAGAAATTGGTGGAAATATGAATAAGTATAAACTTAAGGATATAATATATCATTATCAGTCCATTGAAGGGATAATAATACGGGACATGGGGTATACTGGAACTCTCTGTACTACTTTGTAATAATTCTGTAAATCTAAAATTGGTCTCAAATTATAAATAAATAAATAAATAAAATTGTTCTAAAATGTAAAAATTTATTTAAATTTTTATTTAATTTATTTATTGTAAATAAATATTTATTTTAAAACATGTTTTTTAAGGGACTCCTGGGTGGCTCAGTTGGTTGAGCATCCAACTCTTGATTTCAGCTCAGGTCATGATCCCAGGGTCATGGGATCGAGCCCCACGTCAGCCTCCACACTGGGCCTAGAGCCAGCTTAAGATTCTCTCTCCCTTCCTCCACCCCTCTCCCCCACTCACGCCCTTTCTCTAAAATTAAATTTTTTTTAATTAAATAAAATGTTTTAGTCAGAACTTTAACAGTAGACATTCAATGATATCACTTTATTCTCTCTCTCCAGACACACACACTGAATACAAATCACCATTTATTGAACACAATCTCTGTGGTAGGGGCTTTAGATGAATCCTTGCAATAATCCTGCCAAGTAGTTGGAAAGATCCCCATTTTATCAGTTATGGTCCTAGAAGGTGAAACAACTTGCCCAAGGTCATAGCTGCTGAATCTAGGTCCGTCTGCCATCAAGGCCTATGGCTATTTCACTAGGAAACTCTCCATGTGCATATGTGTCCATATGTTGTCTCAGTCCAGATCCAACCAGGGACCCAGAAAACACTAAACATTTAACTCAGAGGGAACTGGTTACACACGAGATGAAAGAGGAGAGAAGCCAGAGAGAGGACAGCGAGGCAAGCCGGGGATGCACGCTGGCAGGAGGCTGCTACCACCGCCGGGCTGGAGGCTTCAGTGAAGTCCAGACGGAAGGGCCATCAGAGTCTGGAACCACGGAACCCACAGACCCCAAAGACACTGTCCAAGAGAGGGGCTTTGGACCCCTGCCTTGCCCCCTCCAATCACCCTCTAATCTCTAAACCACGTCGTCATTGGCTGAACACAGAACCCAGCTGGGCCCTGGGAACCTCACAGGATCAGCCCCCACTGGGATATCAGGTACACATGGGGACTGCCAGGAATGACCGACGACAGACAGGCCCGGGGTCAGATCTATCGGCAGAGCCCCAGATACAAGTGCAGGCTCTTACCTCCCACTTGGCACAGACACCTCTACTCTCTTCTTCCAAAGACAGCTTTACATCGTCAGTTACATCATTTTTCAGTTCCTCAATAGCTTTCAAATACTTGACCAGACTTTTAGAACTAAGAATTATTAGTGCTTCCTAAAAAAGAGAATGCAAATGAGAACATGAAAACCTCATTCTAGGGGCGCGTGGCTGGCTCAGTCAGAGGAGGGTGCAGCTCTTGGTCTTGGGGTTCTGGGTTCAGGACCCGCGCTGGGCATAGAGATTGCTTAAAAATATAAAATATTTTTTTAGGAAAGCCCCATTCTACTGCCAAGTCTTCAAAGCTAATTTTGGTAGGTCTTTCACAAGCAGAACTAGGAAAAGGCTTATTGGATTTAGGGGAGACTTTTTGTAAAGTAAGATTGATATCCCTTTTGCATCTCTTGAATTACTTTGAAAAGAATGGCAGAATATTTATTAATTGACTGTAGTTAGACATTTGAGAACCAGATAAAGATTTGCTTAGGCTATTCAAAATGACTTCTGTTACCCTTCTGATAAATAATTAAAAGGATTATTGTGCAGGAGAATGAGCCACCGACACTGTTTCCTCTAAAGTTCTTAAGTACTAGTGAGTAGAGGGCCATCCTTCATTAACAATACAATATGAAGAATATAGTAGCATGTATTAGAGGCTGGTGCAGCAAGAAGACACAATATATAGTAGATTGATAGGAAAATATTTAAAATTGTGCATAAGCATTTTTATGGTGCAACAAGTCAACATTATCTTATCATCAACTTCAAAGTTTTGCCCAAGGCCGACCACACTGGCAGTCCTGCCCCAGAGAAGGAGCAGCAGCGGACAGAGACGCATCTGCTCCTTTATCTCACGCTTACCTGCTCTCCCAGACCTGGCAATTACCTGGCAGAAACCTAGTTTAGTTAATTAGGAAATGACAGAACACAGAATAGTTTGGGGCTTGTGAAAGAGGCAGGAAACCTTCAGGAGACAGAAGACAAAAGTAATTTTAGGGATTAAGGTAATTAAGCATGGTGGGAATTGGTTCACACACTCATGGCATATTTCTTATGGGCCTACTGCAGAAAAGGCAGAAGGCTGATTCCCAGGGCCTTCCTCCAAGGCCTCCGTGAGGAGTGCTGGATTTCGTACCTAGGAAGACTCTCTACCTCTCCATGCTGGCAGAAGACCCCCACAACTCATGTGTCCCTGGAGTCCCAGGGGTCTCAGGACAGGACGCGGCAGGCCAGGGACCTTGCTTCTGCTGTGAAAATGGATCTACTTTACTAAGTGCCAGAGATAAAAGGGGGGGAATCCGTGGCCTCAGGTTCCAAAAGGTAGATGGTCAGGGGGAGGAAAATGGCGCCAGACTGATACCTCTAACCCCTCTCTGTGGGAGAGAAGGGGCCTGGAGCTTCCGGTTTTTTTGGTTTGTTTTTGTTTTTGTTTGTTTGTTTTCTCTTCCTTCTCTCTTTCCTAAGCTGACCATATCAGCACCCTGAAATCCAGCCTGGTGACTATTCATAAGAACCACTGACTCTTTAAGGTTCAGCACTCTCAGCACCCTTGGAGTAAAAGTGGCAATAAAAGACAGAGGGAACTGGTCAAAGATGGTGGCTGACAACGTGCAAACAGAAATAGATCAGGCAGGGGAGGGCTTTGGGGTCATGGGGAAAGCAGTATTGAAATGGCTGATAACAGGGCCTGGTCCAGTTCACAATTCGGAAAGCCAAATGAGGATTGAGGCCCAGAAAGGAGGAGGCCACGATGAGAATAAAGAGGCTCCTTCTTCTTCTTTTTTTTTTTTTTTTTTTTAATATTTTTATTTATTTCTAGGGGAGAGAGAGACAGCGTGAGCAGGGGAGGGTCAGAGAGAGAGGGAGATACAGACTCTGAAACAGGCTCCAGGCTCTGAGCTGGCAGTCAGCACAGAGCCCGACGTGGGGCTCGAACCCACGAACCGCGAGATCATGACCTAAGCGAAAGTCGGACGCTTAGCCGACTAAGCCACCCAGGCGCCCCAAGAGGCTCCTTCTTCTAAAGAGTGGGGCAGTCCCCCCAGATGTCTAGCTCATGTTAAATGTCCAATAAGTGTGTGAAATAATGAACGAACAAAAGGACACACATCACTCTACCTCTCCAATGGGTCCAATGTTAGAGACCTTATCGTACTTTTACGTCATAACCCACCCAAGCGCCTCCCAACGTGTTAATTACTGGTGACTCTCTGACTTACACACATCTTGAGTCGCCTATCAAACCAGGAAGAAGCAACCTGAAACTGTCTCCACACAAAGCAACATCACTGGATCTTTAACTACCCATAAAATCCCATGTAATTTTCATCAAAGCATTTTAATAATGAAAGTGTTATTTTATGTTCAGAGAATTGTACCTATTCCAAGTGCCTTCATTTGCCTTATTTTTATTTAACGTCTCACAACAAATTTGGCAGCTGGAATTATTATGCCCATTTTGCTAATTCTAAAAAGCAAGACAAATTAAATTCAGGCTCAGTATCATAGAATCAGCTGGTCTCATGACACTATACCACTGAGTCCGTTTGGCAGATCTATACTAAGATTTCAGTTGAAAAAATTCCTCATGTTCATCTATGTTTTTAATAGCTTCTGGGAACAAAGTATAAAACTGGGAAATTCATTAAAGTTATAACAACTTTGTATAGCATAACAGTGATGGAAATATTCCAATTTCAAATGAGATAGGTAGCTAATAATGAATAGCCTACATTTGATGGTTGAGAGTCCCACCTTGTATTTTGAAATTAGTCCACTCCGGCTCTCTCTTTGTCCAAGTAATTGCTCAGCCCTCGTCATGTATGACTCAAGTTCCCTCCGTGACTCCTCTACTTTCAGCCTGACATCCAGATCTGGTGAAGCATCAGCTGAATTTTTCAACATGGCAACTAATTTTACCATAGTGATCTACAAAGACAAAAAACTCTCAACAGCTGGTCCAGCTTTTCAGTTAAGTCATAAATTAACAAATACATTCTTTGAGGAATAACTCTTATTTTCCCACTAGACATAAGAACATCCTAATTATTAAATTATTGATATTTTCCAATGTACTCTAAATTATTTAAATACATATATAAAATGCACAAGTAATAGTTTATATAACATTTCCAACTTCCAGGGCAATCCCTCCCTCTCTTCCCCATCTTCCCGCTGACCACTCGGTTTTAATAACTAGAATCACTAAATAGGAGATATTAAAGAGAGACCTGAACTTTCTCTTTAGCTTCTTGAATCTTTGTCTGAAGCCCAGCTGTGAGAACATGTTGAAGGGACTCCTGGCTGGAAATGTTTTGCACATCCAGTTGTAAGGTGTCTTCGATTCTAGACACAAGCTCTTCATACATAGAGCCTTTGGCAACAAGATGCTATTAAAACAAAGTGAGACCAAACAAATATTTGGATTATATGTTAAACATTAACCGTAATCTCATGAGAAAATCATAAAAGTTTATTATTAATAAAAAACAAGGTACATTTGTACTCTAAAAACGTTATTTTTAAAATTTATTTAAAACTTTTGTTAGTACAATCAGATTCTGAGAAATATAGTCTTTTATAGATTATTCTTTATACAGTAAGCACTTCAATAAAATAAAGCCTAAAAGTAAATCAATGCCAACAGAGAGAAAGTAAGTTGAGAAAGTAGTAATAAACCTTAAAATGAAGTTGTTCTCTCTCTTTCTTTATTTTGAGAGAGGGAGAGACAGAGGCAGAATGCAAGATGGGAGGGGCAGAGAGAGAGGGAGACACGGAATCCAAAGCAGGCTCCAGGCTCTGAGCTGTCAGCACAGAACCCAACGTGGGGCTGGAACTCACAAACCGTGAGATCATGACCTGAGCTGAAGTCGGACGCTCAACACACTGAGCCACCCAGTGGCCCCATAATGAAGTTGCTCTAAGTCAAATCAGTTGGAAGGAGATTCAATAAATGTTACTGGAGAAAATGACTACTGGAAAAGAAATCTCTTTATAACCATGCTTTATACAACATACTAAAAATAAATTTCAGGTGGATCAGAAAGTCACATATAAAATAGGAAACCACAAAAAGAAATTATCCATGAAAAGTGATCTACACTCTGGCTGTGAAGGGGCCTTTTTAGGGATAAGAATGGGAACATAAATATAAAAATTTTACACGTGAAACAAAATAAATGACTTTAAAACATCAACAACTGGTAAAAACATGTGCCACACAAATGAAAATGCATCACGATTCAAAGAACTCATAAATTCAATAAGAAAAGTACTAAGATCCCAAAGAAAATTCAGAAAACACAAGAAAAGATAATTCACAAAACAAATGGCTGGTAAATGCATGAAAGATAGTTCAACCTTACATGTAATCAAATAAGTACAAATTAAAATAATAACGAGGTACCACTTCTCAGTCGTCAAATCAGCAAAAAAATTTTTAATTACAACTCAAGGGTGGCAAAAGTCTGATAAAACAGAAATTACACTGTTTGATATCAACTATATAAATGTTGATTGTATGTATCTTAGAGCAGTGGAATCATGGTGATTTTCCTCTTCATACCTTTGCACATTATTTAAATGTTCTACAATTAGCACATTCATATTTAATTTCATTTTTTTAATTATAAAAGTAACAATATTTGGTTACTTGGTTTACATGTATGAGGCATTAGGAAATGTGCCAAGAATGGGGCATAAATGCCAGATCAAGACAGAGTTAGTGATTTGTAAATCCTTACACACATTTTTCTATGAATATAAATCCATTTAGTATAAAAAAGCAATTGTTTTTAAACAAAAAACTAAAAAAATCACATCAGCTGTACTATTCATCAATTTGCATTTCTTACTTCACCATATATCTCGCTCTAATAAAGATCAACTTAATTCCTTGTTAACATAAGTATACCCCAGTATGTTTGTATTTCATCGTTTATAAGAGGGATCATTGTCATTGTTTTCAAAGTTTTTTAAAATACTGAATTTCTCATTCCTACTCATTTCTTTCACTAAAATAAATTCCAGATACAACAAATAAATATAAAATAAAATAAAAATAAAAATAAGCACTGGCAGATGGCACAGGTTAAGTGTACATATTATTTTCAAAGCAATAAAAAAACGCCATTCTTATAAACCATGAAAACACAAAATGCTTTATATACACCTTCCCGAAATGTGGATTTAAAAGAATTACATAAACGTTCCTTTACTCCAGGAACTTTCCATCTTGTTGTAATTTATGACATGCTCCATAAGTTTTATAGCTGAGCTGGAACTCAGTAAAAACCTCAGTTGTAACTTCTTTCCCAGGAGAACTGAGTGATATTAAAACACACTCTTGCTTCATTGCTTTTCAATCAGCCGACTGCCCGAGAATAAAGACAGAAAGGTTTTACCGACATCCGTCACCCTCCCTGCATCAAGGAAGGAAGGGTAGGTGGCTTAATCAGTAGGTGAGCTTTCAAAGCATAAATTGTGTTATCTCTTTATGCTCACACTGCACTGACCTACCTGCATGATAATATCCTTACTCGTCTCCTCATTGCTCTCTGAAACAAGAGAATATTTTCATCTCCAACACCTCGCTGGGAAAATCAGTTCAAGAATTGGAACTCATAAGGTATCATTAGTGGCCTCCTAATCTATCCTGTGTCTTCAAGCAAAATCTCAGCCAATGATCCAGGAATGACAGTCCACGCAATGTTTATAACACTCAACAGAGCAAATTCAAATAGTAGTCTTACTACTATTTACCTTAAAATCTTGTATTTGTCTTGTACATAAGTCCACTGCCACAAAAGCTGTCTTTTTAATAGTTTTACACTCTTACCTGCAAAGATTCTTCCACTGAGGCCTCTACACCCTCATGACATCTCAGAGGCTCCAAAAGAGATGCAGTTTCTGCCTCCCAGGTTTCCACGTGTTCGATGAGTTTTTCAACATCTTCAGCCACTTTGAGTTGCCCTGTGAATTCATTTTCTTTTTCATGTCCTTCCCCAGCCTATAACATGCAAAATTATCGCTAAGAAAATGGTAACATCTACTTATAAAATGCTTTTCTTTTTTTTTTTAATGTTTTTTATTTATTTCTAGGAGAGAGAGAGAGAGAGAGACAGCGTGAGCAGGGGAGGGTCAGAGAGAGAGACACAGACTGAAACAGGCTCCAGGCTCTGAGCTGGCAGTCAGCACAGAGCCCNAAACAGGCTCCAGGCTCTGAGCTGGCAGTCAGCACAGAGCCCGACGCGGGGCTTAAACCCACGAACCGCGAGATCATGACCTAAGCGAAAGTCGGATGCTTAACTGACTAAGCCATCCAGGCGCCCCACTTTTCTTTTTTTTTAAGTGTATTTATTTTGAGAGAGACAGAGACAGCACAAGTGGGTGAGGGGCAGCGAGAGAGGGAGAGAGAGGACCCCAAGCAGGTTCAGCATTGTCAGCACAGACCCTCAACGCAGGGCTCGAACTCACAAAACTGTGAGATCATGACTTGAGCTGATACCAAGAGTCAGACACTCAACTGACCTGAGCCATGAAGGCACCCCTAAAATAATTTTCAATTAAAAAAAGCTATATCCCTTTTTTTCCTAAAGACTCCTAATTCAACATTCTTTGGTAACTTAAAACCTACTTTTTGGACAATCATAATCACACTCTATGATCATTCACATGTTTTTTCTTTCTTTTCTTCCTTCCCTCCCCTCCCCTCCCCTCCCCTCCCCTCCCTTCCCTTCCCTTCCCTTTCCTTTCCTTTCAGAGAGAGAGAGAGAGAGAGAGAGCAAGCATGAGCAGGGGAAGAAAGGTGCAGAGGGAGAGAGAGAGAGAGATAATCTTAAGCAGACTCCACCCTCAGCGCAGAGCCCAAGGGAGGGCTTGATCCCACCACCTGGGATCATGACCTGAGCCAAAATTGAGAGTTGGATGCTTAACTGACTGAGCCACGCAGGCACCCTTCACATTAGGTTTTCTTAATGAGAATGTCATCCCTATCATTTAGTTATTATCATCACCATTTTATAGATAAGAAGATTAAAACTTCGAAAATTAGGGTACTGACTCCATAAACATATTTCTAAAACTCAGACACAATTTAAGTAAATACAACTATGAGTGATAGTAATTGTGAAACATCACCAAGAAGAGACTCAGACTCCAATTTCAACACAATTAAGCCTCTTCCCGTTAATAACCTCTCAACATCCTACAGGTTACGCTACAGCTTTTTAAATTTTTTTTTAAACATTTTATTTATTTCTGAGAGAGAGAGAGAGAGAGAGAGAGAGTGAGAGAGCATGAGCAGAGGAGGGTCAGAAAGAGAGGGAGACACAGAATCAGAAACAGGCTCCAGGCTCTGAGCTAGCTGTCGCACAGAACCTGATGCAGGGCTCAAACCCACGAACCGTGAGATCATGATCTGAGCCAGTCAGAGCCTTAACCAACTGAGCCACCCAGGCACCCCGTGGTTATGCTACAGCTTTATACGACAGATGCATCCTTAAAGCTGTTAATTAGGTATCTTAAATGTACTAGAGAAATATAGTATTCCACACCCTTCTATTCTAAAAACGTATTGCACAATTTCAGATCTTTCAAGACTTTGATCAGGTGCCAAACACTAGTGCACCATCCCAGTAACTGGCCAGGGCCAGTGCAAAATTAAGCGAAATTGATGTGTTATTGTTCAGAAGGAGACACATTTCCAAAATCACTGGTATTATCTTACATGTGTACTAATTCGTTGTTCCTTTTCCATAGTCTTCTCTATAATCTAAAACCGTTCTCAAAGCTAAACAACAAAGCAAGAAATAAGGATTATATTGCCCCGCACTGTACAGAAAGGAAGCAAGACACAGGCCAGGGGGTAGGCCAGAGCTAGACAATTCCTGAACATGAGGCAGAAGTCATCTGAAGAAAATATCAACTGGGTGTTCAGAGCTCAGGAGTCATGACAGCTTCTGCATGTCTGTGGAACTCCTCGGTGAGGAAGGGACACAGACTTGAATGCCAAAGCCTCCTTCATGAGGGATCCACTTAAGCATTCTAGTGGAAAATGCCCACACTTTAGGTGTTACCCAATAATCCCATTTATCACTTTTTCAACAATATAGTTTTATAAAAGAAAAGTAGCCACATCATGTCTACACACAAATGAAATAATAAAGTATGACTATTTTACCTTTACATCCTGATTATGATCTTCAGGAAGTTCTATTGACATATCTGTTGAAAAATCAACAGTTGGTTTTTCTTCTTGATATAGCAGAGTATTTTCATAATTGTCAAAAATGGGCTGATCCTGTTTTTTTATAAAGGGCAGCTTCATTTCCTAAGAAAAATGTCATAAAATTTAAAGTCTGTTTTTAAAAATTATTTATTTACTTATTTTGAGAGATAGAGAGTGAGGGGGGCAGGGAGTGGAGGAAAGAGAGAGAGAGAATCCCAAGCAGGCTCTGCACTGTCAGCACAAGGCATGACGTGGGGGCAAGCTCACGAACACTGAGATCATGACCTGAGCCAAAATCAAGAGTAGTTGCTCAACCACCCAGGTACCTTGAAGCCCATATTTTTATATGAAGATATATTATTACCAACAATAACTGGACATAATATATTCAACATATTTGGGGGATTTATCACTTAGTAACAATATTATAAAATATAAGCACTTCAAAAACACCTCAGTCTCAAATTATTAAGAATAAAAAACATAATAATTTAAGTTCAAAAATTATTTCTTAAAGATCTGCTTTTATAAGGTACCCTGCTAAATAAAAAGCCATATAAAGTTCAGTGTATGTTCTCAAGGAGGATGAAATCTGTATGCAAAAATGTTTATGTTGTTCTATACTGGTAAATGAATTTCAGCTACAAAACTGTATATTACATGTCCACACCAGAACTTGTACACAAGGGACACCTGAGTAGCTCAGTCAGTTAAGCGTCCAACTCTTGATTTCGGCTTAGGTCATGATTCTCATGGTTCATCAGTTTGAGCCTCGTGTGGGGCTCTGTTCTGACAGTGCAGAGCCTGGTTAGGATTCTCTCTCCTTCTCTCTCTGCCCCTCCTCTGCTTGCTGTCTTTCTCTCTCTCTCTCTCTTTCTCTTAAAATAAATAAATAAACATTTTAAAAAAACCAAAAAACTTGTACATAAATGTTCACAGCAACATAATTCATAACATTCAAAAGGGTGGAAAGAAGCCAATGTGTATAAACTGATCAATCAATAAATAAAATATTGGTATCCATACAATAGACTATCATTTGTCATAAAAAGTAAATGAAGTGCTGACACATTACAACACAGACGGACCTTGAAAACATTATGCTAAGTTTAAAAGGCGAGAAACAAAAGACCAAATATCATATGATTCCATCTGTGTGAAATATCCAGAACAGGCAAATCTACAGAGACATAAAGTAGGTTCGTGGCCACTGGGGAGCCTGGGAGAGAGTGGAGAGTGATTGCTAATGGATACAGAGTTTCTTTAGGAGATGACAAAAATGGTCTAGAATTTATGATGGTGGTGACTGCACAACTTTGAATATACTAGATATACTAAGTTATAGGCTTTAAATGAGTGAATTGTATGCCATGGGAATTAGATCTCAATGAAGCTGTTACCAAAAAACAAAAACCAAAAAAACTTACAAGTTGAGTTTTTGTAATAAATTTCCTCCATCTTTTATTCAGCCTTCTCAGTTCTTTAGAAATAGATGATCCAACTTCATCATTACTGACTTGAATTAAGAAATTTCCCACTTCATTTAAAGTTGTATGTTCTACATTCCACTGGGATATTGTCTCAAAGGGAATCTATACAACATATAAGCAACACAACTTAATGACGTAACACTTGTCTTCCCATTATCTATAATGGATTTTTACCCAGGTGATTCTAAGCAAAAGTGAGTATAAGGTTCTTGCAGACACTCTGACCATCCCCATAGAGGATTCCCCACCCCTGTTGGACTAGCTCTTCACCCTTAGTCACTAACTGACAGGCACCAGCTAGCTATCTGTCGTTGCTTTTGGTCCTGAACTTTTAGGAAGTATCTGATGTTCCACCTTTCTACGTAGCCAATGAGCTTAGAGCAAAGGCTCTCATTTATCAGTTCATGGTGCCTTTACTGTGTCAGTAGTTTTTTCACAGATTCCCTAGGCCAGAAGATTCATCCAACAATTCTCATTTTCAAGTAGTCGGGTCCAAAGCACTTGGTAGTTATTTGCTGCATGGTGTCCAACAGACTGATGTTGCTGTGTCTCCCTCAAAATTTAAATTATCTTTAAAGTCCTCTGGCAGCTCAGAGCACCTCAGTGCAGAGTTCAGGAAGTGCAAGGCTTACAGTGTTATTTTTCTGAGTTATGTGAATTTTAATAAAGTATCTTTAATGGATGAAGTGAGAGAGTATTATGGTAAGCAAAATAACTCAGAGGAAGACAAAATACCACATGATTTCACTCATATGTGGAATTTAAGAAACATAACAAATGAGCAATGGGGAAAATAAGAGAGAGAGAGAGAGAGAGAGGCAAACAAGAAACAGACTGTTAACCAAAGAGAACTGATGATTACCAGAGAGGAGTTGCAAGGGAGGATGGGTGAAATAGGTGATGGGGACTCAGGAGTGCCTTTGTGATCAGCACCGGATGTTGTATAAAAGTGTTGAATCACTATATTGTACGCCTGAAACTACTATTACACTGTAGGTTAACTACTAGAATTAAAATAAGAATTTTAAAAAAGGTCATTAAACACAGAAGAATTGTTGAAAGCCAAGGATGTGAATTTCTAGTACACTATAGGTGACAAAGAGAATGGCTCACTAACCCCTCAAATATTCTTTATGCGCTCTTACACTTATCATAAATTTTACTTTCATATAAATAGCCCATTTTCAGCCAAGGAAATTTAGTTTCTATTTGGAAAATGTTTCATCTGAGACTTTTCATCAAAATTATTTTCAAGCAAATATCCATTCGCAACAGAGGAAAAGAAACGAAAGAAAGAAAAACTATCCCAGAGAATATTCATAAAACAAATTATGACATGACTAGCAGATGAAAACAATAATTTATTACATTGCAATTCCTTCCACACCTCTCCACGTAAGTATAAGCTATTCTGCATTTTCTTCCTCTGGAAACACAGGAAGATTTTAGAGCTGAAAGGTATTCACCCGAATGGAAAAATAAAACTTTTTAAAATATCAAGTTATTTTAAATGCGTCTATGAGCTATCGAATATTCCAGGTCTTTTCTTCTCTTTCCAAAGAACTTAGCAATATATCTTTCAAAAGCTACCGTGTGTATGTGTGTGTGTGTGTGTGTGTGTGTGTGTGTGTGTGTGTGTGTGTAAAACCCATAATGAGAAGAAAACTTCCATTTGGCAATTGTATTAGAAAGAAACTAAACTCTCTCCAATACCTTGAAGAATATTTCCAACAATCATACTTACTCTTCCCCAGCTTCTCATTTTTGGATTGAAAATGAGGATCTCCAAACAAAATGAAAAAAAAAAAAAAAGAAAGTAGAGTTGAGGAGGTAACAGTAGACTGAAAATACCTCTTTAATCTGTTCCTTCTTTGTCTCCTCAAAACAAGCCTTTAGTAAGCGAAGTTTTTCCAGATAAGTAGCCCAACATGTCAAAACTTTCTGAAGAGTGGACTTGACATTATATATATTTTTTCTATATGTACAAATATTATATTCCAGTGCCATATACTGTTTACTAATATCCTGATATTCTCCATCTATAATGTTAGCAAAACAAGAAAGTAATCTTAGAAGTTTTTTATTAAGAAAATAATGTTAAGAAAAATACTTGCATATTAATCACAAATGGTCAAGTAAATATGTAGTCTGATGATATTAAAAATGAATGCAAGAATTTTCCAAAGAAAACACATGTTAAACCAATTTCTAAAACATTAAGGTATAAAGAAAGTCAAAGAGATAAAATGCTATTTTTTTGTTTTTTTATTTATTTTTTTTCTTTCTTTCTTTTTTTTTTTACAAATAGTTTATTGTCAAATTAGTTTCCACATAACACCCAGTGCTCATCCCCATGAGTGCCCTCCTCCATGCCCATCCCCCCTCCCCCCTACATCCATCAGTTCTCAGTTTTTGTCATAAAATGCTATTTTTTTTAATGTTTGTTTATTTTTGAAAGAGAAAGGGCACAAGCAGAGAAGGGGCAGAGAGAGAGAGAGGGAGACACAGAATCCGAAGCAGGCTCCAGGTTCTGAGCCGTCAGCACAGAGCCTGACGTGGAGCTCAAAACCACAACCTGTGAGATCCCGACCTGTTATGAAGTTGGAGGTACAACAACTGAGCCACCTGGGTGTCCCAATAAAATGCTATTTTAAAAAGTTTTTTAAAAATATTTATTTATTTTTGAGAGAGAGAGACAGAGAGAGACAGAAGGACAGAGAGAGAGACAGAGCATGAGCATGAGCAGGGGAGGGTCCCAGAGAGAGGGAGACACAAACCGAAGCAGGCTCCAGGCTCTGTGTGAGCTGTCAGCACAGAGCACAACATGGGTCTTGACCTCACGAACTGTGAAATCATGACTGAGCCAAAGCTGGCCACCTAACCACTGAGCCACACAGGTGCCCTAATACTATTTTTAAGTGGTCATTTCATCAGAAAGTAACCGCATAGCTTTACCTAAAGTCTTATGTATTTCTTCACATTTTTGCAAGGAAGTTTCAAGTTGAGCTAGGAACTCTTCTTCTTCAATAAATTTCTGGGGGGAAAAGAGAAAAATATATTGACAGTTTTTTACTGTTAAAAATGTGCCGAGAAATCCAGTGATGAAGCACTTAGGCACCAAAGTTTTCTTAAGGCTTTAATCCTATATATTTGGGGAGAAGAGAAGAGCAGTTCATGAAGAAAGACGACTAAGATCTAGCAGACAGAAGCAGAATATGAACACTACATAGGTGTGAGACCTGACAAGGTCCATCACTGCCATGATGTGGTTCAACAACAGTTTTCTTCCTGGGGGAAAAGGCAAGTTACATATACCCTGTTCAAAAGCTCCTACTTCACGTATTTATTAAAATGGCATAATTTATGCCAGTTTCTCTTATTTCACACATTTTATTAATATTGAATACTTTTTAATTAGTTATGTGAGAGCATATTGTAAATAGATACCATCCATCCCACAAAAACATCTGAGTAACTACCATCAGTCAAATTATGTGTCCTATGTGAGCAAATTCTGCAATGGAAAAATAGAGAGTTAATTAAAAGCTCGTATTTACTGTGCACTTATTAAGTGCCAGTGGTATGATTACTGAAATGGAAAAATGAAAAATCAAAGTAAGGAATATATTCAAAACCTAGTCTAATTGAGAATGATGTCTCCTATTTGGGGATGTACAGTGTTTAAATCATAACTTGTTCGATAAATTTGTCTTCGTTGTGTTGTTCAATTTTTGTATGGAAATTTACAATCTTGGATTTGTCTTTTTTGCCTCTCATTCCAAAAACAGAGAAACACAAAGAATGATATTAATTCCTAACTGTAGAATGACATTTCTAGTCTACTTCTGTTTTAATTTACAAAAGAACATATGTATATTTAAATCATTTGCAACACTTTTCCCCCATAAATTGCAAGAGCTAACCCCCTTCTCCAAAAATAAGCCCCAGACAAAATGTACTGTCTGTCTCACTCTTACATTAAAATATTCTTAAAAAAATTATTTTTTGAATGAAACCATGAAGCTGAGTGAGAAATTTTATTTTTATTTTTTTTTAATGTTCATTTATTTTTGAAGAAGAGAGAGAAAGACAGAGAGACAGAGTATGAGTGGGGGAGGGGAAGAGAGAAAGGAAGACAGAATCCAAAAGAGGCTCCAGGCTCTGAGCTGTCAGCCCAGAGCCCAACGTGGGGCTCGAACCCACAAGCTGTGGATCATGACCTGAGCCAAAGCTGAACACCGACTGAGCCATCCAGGCATCCCAAGTAGGAAAACCTCTTAAACAAGAAGTCCAGTAAGTGAATGCTGGTATTTTTAATAACTTGAAACTCCTTCTAATTATTATGTTAATTAGCCTGGTTAACTGAGCCTCCCCTGTTGTGGTAAATAATTAGATTTTCTTTTCTCACTCCTCCCACTGTCTGTTACTTGGGTACTTACAATTCTGTTCTCTGGGCAATTTTAAGCTGATGAAAACTATCAAGAAACCTCATCTCAAAACCTGGAAAGGTGAAGGGAATGTGTCTTAAGGAAAAATGCAAACTCAGCACCCCAACATGGAGAATAGTTGTCGAAGACACAAAATAAAACAGCTTACATGCCAGTCTTCCAGCAACAATTCCACAGATTCTTTGCTCCCATATTTGACGTCCCAAACATCCAATTTTGTCTTCACTTCATCTAGCAAACCAAGAACTGAGTACTTATAGTAATGAAATTCTAGAAGTGGAATGAATTTTTCCCCTGAAATGTTGTTGATTCTGGAAAACATTGCAGGTTTTAGAATTTAACTTAATATTATTGCCCAAATGCGAGACAATCTGTTTGGCAGTTCTAAAAATATTGGGTCTTTGGCTCTTTGTCTTAAACACATGGAACTCAGATGTATCCTCAAATCTTTTTTTCCTTTTTTAAAGTAAGAGCTACCACCCCCAACGTGGGGCTTGAACTCACAATCCTGAGATCAGGAGTCACATGTTCTACCAACTGAGCCAGCCAGGTGATCCAAAACTTTTTTTCTTAAACAGAGTAAAACAAACATTGTGGCTAAGTATAAGACAACTATTTCTGAGAGGAAAACATCTAATAGAACATTATCTGATGACTATTCCCCTATAGAAAAAAATCCTATAATAAATCTTAATCTCCAAAATATTTTACTACATTTGTAAGGTTTTGTATAACTGAATGCAACTATAATTTCAACATTTGCATATTAAAACAGCTCTCCTTATTAAGGCTAAAACCCTCTCATTATCATTGCAATAAACTGTGAATGAATAATGAGAAAAGAGAAGATGATGTGGCTAATCATCAATTAAATAATCTCTATAGTATTTTAGAATTTACGAAGTACTTTCCGATACCTCCTCTTGTTTCACCCAGTACCCTTGTGAGACATAAATGGGGTGATTATCACGATCCCATATTTACAAACGAGGATACATGCTCAAAAAGACAGTAAATTGGCCAAAACTCAGATACGAAGCTCATTTTTTTACTCCACATCTAGAGCCTTCCCATCACCAGATCCTACCATCCAGTAAAAAAGAAACTGTTAGCATGATATAATGTTACTATTACAAAAAATGTGAAGGTACTGTTAATCAAGATTTAAAAAATCCGTATCAGAAATCATCTAAAAATCTACAATTATCTGGTCCCTCTAGCATCCTGTTAGTGCTCAAACATGAACTGCATCGGCAGTTGTGAAATGGCAGTGTTACAAACCGTGCTTTCATTTCCTCCAATTTCTTAGGTGGTACCAGTGGCAAATTTTTTTCATCTCTATTTTCAAATGCCAGGAGAGTATTCGAATGACAATCAAATTTATCCATCAGATTCTGTAAAGAAATTTAGCATGACATCAACCAGACTTTTAGCCAAACACTGTAATTGGGGGTTTGTTAATCTCATTTGCTCTGGGTATGCGCTGCATCTTTTTTCAAAACAATCATAAAGCCCTTACTTTTTTTTAACTAAAACTTTGCCAGTGAGTGACTTCATAAATGCTTTAAAGTGGAACATTTTACAGAGAGACAGACTGCAGTTCCTTTGGTAAAAGCATTATCAAAACCTTTTGTTTTCAGATTTATTTTCCATTCCTTTGTGAGTTCACATGCCATAAATGTCATATAACAAATTCCCTCATACCATTTTAGTGAGAATCCACTCTCTCAGATTTAAACCAGTCTCTTCTCCCCTTTTTGGTCAGGCTTTACAGTTGCATTAGAACTTACTGGACTCTATTCTTACTGTTCCCACCTTGCACTAACACAATGCCCATAAGGAAGAGAAAGTATCTTCTGGCTCCCAAACTCCCCAAGGGAATCATTCCAAACCATCCTCAAATAGGCACTATATTTCTTTCCCTTCTCTTTAGGCCAAAGTCTTCCTCAAGAAGAAGTCCCTAACAAAGCATAGATTTTTCCATGTTTCTTTTTAATTTTCCAACCTTGATTAAAGTCATTTTTTCTTGTATTAGAGCCACGGCTTCACAGTAATCCTGGGAAGCTGGCAAGTCTTCCTCTATAAGTCCCTCTACCTCCTGGAGCCAGGCTTCAATGTGATGCAGCGGTGAGGGCAAGGCATGATTCAGGTCTCTTTTCCACATGTTAATCTGAAAAACAAAAACTGGTGATTTGCTAAACATTCTTCTAAAGTTGATTTCTTTGCACACAGTTTGTTGAATTCTTCAAAGTTTCTCTGATCTATCAGTCAGGCAAGTCTTTCTCAAAGGGGCAAACTTCTGAGTTCAATATCATTTGCTTACCCGCTGAAGAGAAGATTATTTGTTTAAGAGCAATAGAAGGGGGCACAAGGTGGGCGCCTGGGTGTCTGAGTCAGTTAAGCATCCGATTCTTGATTTCCACTCAGGTCATGACCTCATAGTTCATGAGTTTGAGCCCCGCACTTGGCTATGCACTGGCAGCACAGAGCCTGCTTGGGATTCTCTCTCTCTCTCTCTCTCTCTCTCTCTGTCTCTCTCTGCCCCTCCCCTCCTTTCTCAAAATAAGAAAATACACTTAAAAAAAAAAGATATAGAAGGGGGTACAAGGATAAAAATGAGTATTTTGATAAACCCATAATCAGTTATGAGAGGGAAATTAGAATTATTTAAAGCACCCCTTGGGGCGCCTGGGTGGCTCAGTTGGTTAATCTTCTGATTCTTGATTTTAGCTCAGGCCATGATATCTCATGGTTCATGAGTTCGAGCCTCACATAGAGGGGGCTCTGAACTGATAGCACACAGTCTGCTTGGGATTCTCTTTCTCCTTCTCTCTCTGCCCCTCACTCACTTTCTCTGTCTGTCTCTCTCTCTCTCTCAAAATGAATAAATGTTTTAAAAAAGCACCCCTCTAAGCAAGGGTAGACTGTTATGTTGAAGGACCATTATTTGAAATGTTGTATGGCCTTGTGTTCTCTGACTTGACAACTACACCTCATACTCAGACTAGAGATTGTTTTTCTCACTAGTACTAATCATATATTCACATTACTGCAAATGACATATCTGATAAAGGGTTAGTATCCAATATCTATAAAGAACTTATTAAACTGAACATGCAAAGAACCAATAATCCAGTTTAAAAAATGGGCAGAAGACCTGAATAGACATTTTTCCAAAGAAGACATACAGATGGCTAGTAGACACATGAAAAGATGCTCAACATCACTCACCATCAGGGAAATACAAATGAAAACCACAATGAGATACCACCTCACGCCTGTCAGAATGGATAAAATTAACAACACAGGAAGCAACAGATGTCAGCAAGGATGCAGAGAAAGGGGAACCCTCCTACACTGTTGGTGGGAATGCAAACTGATGAAGCTACTCTGGAAAACAGTATGGAAGTTCTCAAAAAATAAAAAATAGAACTACCCTATGATCCAGCAATTGCATTACTAGGTAGTTACCCAAAGGATACAAAGATATTGATTTGAAAGGACACATGCACCCCAATATTTATAGCGGCACTATCAACAATAGCCAAATTATGAAGAGAGACCAAATGTCCATCGATGGATGAATGGGTAAAGAAAATGAGGTTGGGGCGCCTGGGTGGCTCAGTCAGTTAAGCGTCCGACTTCAGCTCAGGTCATGATCCCACGGTTGGTGGGGCCGAGCCCCACATCGGGCTCTGTGCTGACTGCCAGCTTAGAGCCTGGAACCTGTTTCAAACTCTGTGTCTCCCTCTCTCTCTGATCCTCCCCTGCTCATGCTGTCTCTCTCTCTCTTGCAGAAATAAATAAAACATTAAAAAAAAAAAGAGAGAGAAAACGAAGTATATACACAATGGAATATTACTCAGCCATAGAAGAGAATGAAGCCTTGCCATTTGCAATGATGTGGATGGAGCTAGAGAATAATGTGCTAAGCGAAATAAGTCAGAGAAAGACAAATACCATATGATTTTCACTCATGTGTGGAATTTAAGAAACAAAACACATGAACATGGATGCCCAGAATTCTTAAGCAGGATGATAATCCAGCTCCTAGGCCACCTCCTTTATTGAGGACCCCATTTAAGAATGTTGTTTTGGGGGCACCTGGGTGGCTCAGTCGGTTAAGCATCCAACTTTGGCTCAGTTCATGATCTCATGGTTCGTGGGTTCAAGCCCCACATCGGGTTCTGTGCTGACAGCTTAGAGCCTGGAGCCTGTTTCAGATTCTGTGTCCCCCTCCCTCTCTGCCCCTTTCCTGCTCACGCTCTCTCAGCAATAAATAAATGTTAATAAAAAGATATTTTTAAAAAAGGACTATTGTTTTTGATCTAAGCTCACGACTCTCTTATGGCTTTTTTGGCATTCTAATGCTAAAGACCACCACCCCCATGAAGATCATGCACAAATTAAAGTGTGTTTCAATCAAATGACTTTCTCTATTGAAAATATGAGTTTTAAATCTGTGCTTCTCTTTCCCTTAGAGTTCTGCTAAATAAATTGCCACTACTCTTTAGGTTAAATTGATTTTAAATAGAGGAAATAAAAAGCAAAATTGCATCTTTTAAAACAATAGGGTTATTTGATTCATCATTAATTGATTGCAAAACATTTACTGGGTGCCACCATATGCAGAGAAATATAAAAAAGAAATATTTAGGGGCGCCTGGGTGGCTTAGTCGGTTGAGCGTCCGACTTTCGCTTAGGTCATGATCTCGCGGTTCGTGGGTTCGAGCCCCACGTCGGGCTCTGTGCTGACTGCCAGCTCAGAGCCTGGAGCCTATTTCAGAGTCTGTGTCTCCCTCTCTCTGACCCTCCCCTGCTCACGCTGTCTCTCTCTCTCTCTCTCCTAGAAATAAATAAAAATATTTTTAAAAAAAGAAATATTTAAGTAAATGTCCAAATATAAAGATTTTTTTAAGTTTATTTATTTTGAGAGAGAGAGAGAGAAAGAGAGCACGTACCCACACGTGATCAGGGGTGGAGGAGAGAGAGATGAGAGAGAGAGAATCCCAACCTGACACCACAAAGCCTAACACAGGGCTTGATCCCACGAAATGTGAGATCATGACCTGATCCCAGATCAAGAGTTGGACACTTAACCAACTCAGCCACCCAGGTTCCTTAAAGATGTGAAATGAGAAAAAATCTAGGCTCTTTTAAGGCAGTGACATGGAACTATTCATAAGCTAGAAGCATTAAATATTATAGTTTTCACATTTTGTTTTGCATTTTTAGGTTTATTGAGGCATAGATGGCAAAACCATAATATATTTAAAGTGTACATCATGGGGATTTGATACACCTATACATCGCGGGAGGACACCCACTCTCTAAATAATTAACACACCATCACTTCACATGTTTATGCCTTTTTTTTTTCTTGGCGAAGAACATTTAAATTCAACTCTCTTAGCAAATTTCAATGATATAATACAGTGTTATGAAGTATAGCCACGATGTTTTACATTAGATCCTCAGACCTTACTCAACTTAGAGCCGGAAGTCTGCACCCTTTTACCAACTTCAGCCCCTCCTATCCTCCACCCTCTGACAACCACTTTCATACTCTCTGCTTCTGTGAGTTTGACTTCTTTTTATAACCTTCCACATATAAGGAATACCATGTAATATTGTTTTGCTTCAGCTGCTTCGCAAGTTTACCTTCTCTAACGACATATGACAAAAGACAGCTCTATAATCTCAAATCATTAAGTATATGCCGTTAAGCCTCCAGTTGGAAAATAATGAAAAACAATGTTGTCGTCATTATGACTTTTTAATATGCGCTTTTATTATAACCAAATAATCTATGCATTTGCCAAAATAAAATAAAATAAGTCAGAAAATTGATAGATGACTTAAAGAGAGGCTAAGAACGATATCTCTAATTCAACTGATAGTCTTTTCACAACTAAAAGAAAGCTGAATATATTTTGAATGAAAAGGAATGTGTGCTTTCTGCTTGAGGGCTGTACTCTATTTATGTAACAGAAGAGGAAAGACAGAAGGTGATAATTACCTTTTATTACCCCTCTTTGTCACTTACAGAGAAAACTGGCTCCACACTTTTCTTTGTTAGTTTTGGAACTTACTTTTGAATTTGGTCAAAAATTTGTATCTGATCTGACCTGATCATGTCAGATCAAAATAACATAACGTTGGGGTGCCTGAGTGGCTCAGTTGGTTAAGTGATCGACTTTGGCTCAGGTCATGATCTCACGGTTTGTGGGTTAGAGCCCCTTGTCAGGCCCTGGGCTGACAGCTCAGAGCCTGGAGCCTGCTTCAGATTCTGTGTCTCCCTCCGTCTCCCTCTCTCCCTAACGTTGCTATTTTGCATAGCTGGCTTAAAATGAAACCACTTACTGGTATGCTTTGAGGTAACTGTGTTCAAACAACTAAACCAGGAACTGTCTAGACGGTATTGACTTTTCTGCACCCGAAGACTGTACGGTTAACATATCTCATTTGTTACATTGACACAAGGAGCTGTATTATAACTGAGGAACGGATTTTCAAGCTGCTATCAATTTGTGGCACTGAACTCTTGCAAAATAGTGGGGTTTTAATGGTTTTCCCCATTATTTTGGTACTGTTTCCCAATCATCTTCAATAAAATTAGGCCAGGTCTTTGTGGTGTGGGACACTGTGAACTCTACAAACAATACCTCCTTCCTCTCCTTCTGTTTTTTGAGGCTGCATAACTGAGAGCACCTGCCCTTCACAGGGGTCAGTTTCAAGGCTGTGCTGGGAACACAAGCGGAGGGCACCATGAGCCGTGCCACTTGATGGGAAGGTTTCGGGGCTATGCTAGTTCTTCCAAATTAGGTACTCAGAGATGGTGGCTCTTTGAAGCGACTAGACTAGACTATTTAGCACCCTTCCTAAATGATGTGAAACATATATGCTGAAAACAGGCTGGCACCGCTGACAGCCGAGAGAACAGTGATCAACAGGGATCAGCCAACTTGTTCAGGGCCAGAGAGAAGTTTTGACTTGCAGACCATAAAAATCTCTGTTGCAACCCTGTAAATTCACCAGAAATCATTTAATTATCTACTGAAAATGAGAGAAGTGTATGGTATGTAAATTATACCTCAATAAAGATGTTTAAGAAAAGAACGAAGGCCAAATAAAGACAGTTAAAAATGAAACTAAGAGAATTTGTCACCCATAAACCTGTGTTGTAAGTTGAAAAATGTGTTTTAGGCTGAAGAGAAAGAAGTTCAGATGGAAACTCAAATCTCTCTAGAATCAAATCTCTCTAGAAAAGAATGAAGAACATTGGAAATAGTAAATATCTAGATAATTATAAGAGACATTTTTTACTCTAAATTTCTTTAAAATGTAAGACTGTTTTTAGCAAAAATTTATAACATGGTCTTGGGCACTTTAAAACATTTGTCTGTGGCATGAATATATTTATATGTAAAGCAACTATAGCATAAAGAATGACAAATAAATGAATCAAATTAATTGCAAGATTTCTACGTAAGAAGTTGTATGATAACTTAGAAGTTATGTAAGTAGACTGCAAAAAAAGTTTATATATTTATTTTGAGAGAGAGAGAGAGAGAGTTTGTATGAGCAGGGAGGGGCTGAGAGAGAGAAAATGCCAAGCAAGGTCTGCACTGTCAGTGCAGAGCCCGACACAGGGCTCCAACCCACGAACTATGAAATCATGACCTGAGCTGAAATCAGGAGTTAGATACCTCACTGACAGGAGCCCCAGATTGTAAAAAATTTTAAATGTATATTGTTGTCTCACCAAAAATCTGACAGAAAGCAATAGAGCCAAAAAGCCAATAGACTGGGGCACCAGGGTGGCTCAGTCAGTTGAGCATAGAATTTCGGCTCAGGTTGTAGTCTGGCAGTTTATGAGTTCAAGCCCCACATCAGACTCACTGCTGTCAGTGCAGGGCCCATTCTGGGTGCTCTGTCCCCCTCTCTCTGCCCCTACCCTGTTTCTCGTTCTCTAAACAAATAAACATTTAAAACTTAATTTAATTAATTAATTATTTTTAAAAAGCCAATATATAAAATGAAATTCTAAAAATATCAACATAATTTGGGCGCCTGGGTGGCTCAGTCGGTTGACCATCTGACTTCCGCTCAGGTCATGAACTCACAGTTCATGAGTTCCAGCCCCCCACCGGGCTCTGTGCTGACAGCTCAGGACCTGGATCCCGCTTTGATTTTTGTGTCTCCCTCTCTCTCTGCTTCTTCCCTGCTCTCATTCTGTCCCTCTCTCTCTCAAAAACAACAACAACAACAAAAAATTTTTTAAAGACATAGATAATCTGACACTATCAACCACCTTAGCTTACCTGATATCTATAGAATGCCCTATCAAGTAACTACAGAATACATGTTCATTTTAAGTGCAAATGGTATTACACCCACATGCTCTATGTCTTCGGTCATAACACAAATCTTAATAAACTGAAAACAACTGAAATCATACAGATATATTCATATACATTCATCTTCACACATTCTCTCTAGGCTTATCCCTCACCCTTTGCAAGAATCTATTGATAGTGACACATGACACTGGTCCACGGAAAAGAAGAGGCTGGTCAGTCAGAATACGGATAATCTACTTTGGCAAATCAATCATTGACAGCAAATATAAAAACTCTGAACAAGCAGTTTTTCTAAGCAGAATGCTACAAATTCCTATTTAAATATTGACCACTACCCAGATGAGACTATGGAGAAAATAAAAGAATACTCTCCCAAGTTTCTGATGAAGCATCTGCTCCTTTTACAGAATTCCTCATGAGAGTCTAAAGTAATCATCCAACAAACAAAGCTGCCCCATGAATCAAATAACACAGTAACCTGGCAGTTGAGGCCATCCCAGGCTTCTCTCAGCTGCACCTGATTTTCATTCAGCTCATCCAAGGTCCTTTCCACTGGCAGGATGTCCAAAAAGGGCTTTTTTCCTTCATTGAAGGACTCCAAAAAGGACAGCAGGCTCTACAATCAGAAGAATATTTTAAAGGCAGAAATTTTAAATCGGTTAATGATATGTAATCCGCCATTTTAAGGTCTATAGCTATAGGTTAGATTTAAATTTTTACTTAGAGAAAAGGTACAATTCCCTGAATTCAGGATCCTCTCACTGATCTGGTATCTTCCTTCAGTGCACCCTGATCACTTGAGTGCCGTCATGGTAACACAGGTCACGGCTTGTGTCTCTTGTCAGTACTGTTGGATTTCTAATGGAATGAAGTGGCAAGGTCACCCACCTCTAGAGGACAAATCATGACGTCACACGGAAAATGGAAGTTTCTCTGTCCACCCCAGATATGTGTTCACAACAAAATAAGAATGAGTGGAAGTGAGAACTATCTAGTAGCAGTCATCGCGTACAAATGTCTCTACAGTTAACAGTGCTTGAACCAGTGCTTCTCAAGTCACTTTTTACAGATTTGAGAATATATTTTGTCCCTCAAAAATTTTATAAATTCAGCTTTTCTTGGTTCGTATTAGTGTGAAATATTGGTGTTTAAGAGTCATCAATTCTAGGGGCGCCTGGGTGGCTTAGTCGGTTAAGCGTCCAACTTTCACTTAGGTCATGATCTCGCGGTTCGTGGGTTCGAGCCCCGCGTCAGGCTCTGTGCTGACAGCCAGCTCAGAGCCTGGAGCCTGTTTCCGATTCTGTGTCTCCCTCTCTCTCTGACCCTCCCCTGCTCACGCTGTCTCTCTCTCTCTCCTAGAAATAAATAAAACATTAAAAAAAAAAGTCATCAATTCTATAAATTTTATTTCAAACCTCACTCATACTAATTGGCAGCATTTAATTTTATTTTATTTATTTCAGCAGTATTATTTAAATGAAGTTTTATGAGTTGGGGTGCTCAGCCGGTTCAGTAAGTAGAGCAGGTGACTCTTGATTTTGGGGTCATGAGTTCAAGACCCATCGTGGACATTAAAAAAATAAAAAAATAAATAGAATTTTGGAAAAGATTAAGTTTTACGAGTCAACCAAGGGATAATTCATCATAATTCTTTCTGCTCACTAATAACTTCCTAAAGCTGTTTATTTAAGGAAGCTGAATCTGTGCTGCATTACTAAATCAAAGATGGATGTGAGAGTAATGCACGTTCAGTGGACGCTGGACATCTTGTCAATAAAAAACGCATCAGGCCAGAACAAAGATGGAAGAAGCACAGAAGCCTAGGTAGTTCTGATGGAAAGGAAGATGAGGACATCCCATCCCTTTCTTCCCTGATGCCTCTATACCAAAAAGGATGTTGTTGCCAGCAAGTAGCACAATCCACTGAATGTTAGTGTTGGAAAGGCTGGATTCATCCAACCCCCGCACTGAGCCTGGAGGCGCTATGTGCGGAGTAGGCACATGACAGTACTCCTGCTTTATTCCCGATGGAGATCTGACAGGGAGCAGAGCTGCACAGGCAGTGGGTTCTAAGAAACGGGGCCAAACAATCCTCATCTCGGCTCGTCAGGCTCTTTCAAGATGGTACAAGACTTGCCCAGGAGAAGCATCAGGAAATAAAGAGAGCTGGGTCTCCAAAGCTAGACTCGATTCGAATCCGCCTCTCCTGGTCAGTAGCTGTGTCACCTCAGACACTGTGGAATAACAGCACCACGCTCAGCAAGATGCTCTCATGTGTAAAATGCCTGCAGCAAGGTGCCTGGTACACAGCAGACACTCAAATGTGGTGGCAATCATAGTTGTCATTTTTCCTCAGAGGATGCCGTGGTTGAGGCCCTATACCTTGGGGTTGGCTTCATGTCTGATTTCCTGACCTTTTTTTTTCATTCCATATTCGTCTTGAAAAGCATGTTCTGCTCCAGGCTGGGGACTGGAAAACGTCTACTGTAAGAAGCAAGATGATAAATGTCCGAGCCTGAGGGCCATATGGTTTCTGTTGCCACTGTGTGACTCTGGCGTTGCAGTGCAAAGGCGGCCACAAACAACACCTTCACGGGCCTGGCGATATTCCGATAACACTGAATTTACCAAAGTGGTGGGGCCCACAGTCCAGAAACCTTACTACTCAAAGTACCTTCAGAACCCAGCATTAGCACCACCGTAAGCTTGCTGGAAATGCAGAATCTCAGGCCCCGCCTCAGATCTACTGAATTAGAATGTGCATTTCAGGGGCACCTTGGTGGCTCAGTCCATTAAGCATCTTCCTGACCTTAGCTCAGGTCATGATCTCATGATTCGTGAGACTGAGCCCCACATCAGGCTCCGTGCTGACAGCGCACAGACTGCTTGGGATTCTCTCCCTCTTTCTCTCTCTCTCTCTCTCTCTGTCCATCCTCTGCTCATGCCCTCTGTCTCTCCTTCTCTGCCTCCAAATAAATAAATTTAAAAAAAAAAGAATCTGAATTTTAACAAGATTCTCCAGCGAATTCACATGCACATTAAAACTTGAGAAGCACTGTCCTAGAATTTGATGCTAAAACTTGGAGTTAGTTTACCATTTATACAATGAACTCTGAAGGATTTTTTCCCCAAAAACATCCTACTCTTTCCTAAGAGTCAACTACAAATAAATTGCTGTTTAAAGCTGTACTTACATCATACTTTTTAGAGTAGGTCTCATTCTCTGACTCCTTTAGCACTTCCTGTAGTCTTTTCTCTTGTAGAGTTAACCAGACCACAGCGTCTTTCATCCTGCCCTGTAATTCACACACACACACGCATTTAACACTCTATCCTAAATAGACTTGGAGATTTTTTTTTAACAACAAAATTAACAACTTCAAACATCAGTGAAATAATGCAATCATTACACACCAATGACTCGCTGCGTTGAAGAGGAAGTTTGCTTGTTCACCTAACACCTCAAATTTTAAAATGGATTGAAACTGGCACCTGAACATAATATGCTAAAGAAACAGGGCATGCAAGCCCCTCAATTTTTTTTTTTTTTGGCTTATCTACTTCCATTATTCCTCAATTCTAAAGAACATTATTCTAAACTACTTACCTATAGTAAGCATTTCAGAATACTGCTTTCTAATACATCTCAGTATGGGTTAATCAAGAGCTGCTGACACCCAAATACAGAGACATCAAAAATATCTTAGGCAGAGGTGCCTGGGGGGCTCAGTCTATTGAGTGTGTGATTTTGGCTCAGGTCATGATCTCACAGCTTGCGGGTTCGACCCCCACATCCAGCTCTGCTAACAGCTCAGACCCTGGAGCCTGCTTTGGATTCTGTGTCTTCCTCTCTCTCTGCCCCTCCCCCACCCTCACACACTCATGTGCATGCACTCGCTCTCTCTCTCTCTCAAAAAATAAATAAACATTAAAATAAGGTTTTTTTTAATATCTGAAGCATTTTAAAGACCCTTAAAGTAACTACTAAAGGGTTTGGTTCTGCTCTCCTATGGATATGAGCAACAATTATTTTTCCCTAGGTTCTTGCTTGCTTACATTCGAAAGCAAATTTTACTGTCAGAGGATAAAGCAAAAGATACTTCATCTTATTTCCATTCCCTTTATTTTTCATTTACTTTTTCTCTTCCTATTAAGCAGAAGTGTTTTCTATATACTTCTGAATCTGATTTTATGGACAGTTGAATTTTTCATTTTTTTTTTTAATTAATTATTATTTTTTTAATGTTTTACTTATTTCTGAGAGAGGGAGAGAGAGAGGGAGACAGTGTGAGCAGGGGAGGGTCAGAGAGAGAGGGAGACACAGAATCTGAAGCAGGCTCCAGGCTCTGAGCTGTCAGCACAGAGTCCGATGCGGGGCTCGAACCCATGAGCCGTGAGATCATCACCTGAGCCGAAGTCGGACGCTTAACTGACTGAGCCATCCAGGCGCCCCTCATTTTAGTTTTTTTTTTTTTTTTTTTAATTTTTTTTTAATGTTTTATTTATTTCTAGGAGAGAGAGAGAGAGAGACAGCGTGAGCAGGGGAGGGTCAGAGAGAGAGGGAGTCACAGACTGAAATAGGCTCCAGGCTCTGAGCTGGTAGTCAGCACAGAGCCCGATGCGGGGCTCGAACCCACCAACCGCGAGATCATGACCTAAGCGAAAGTCGGACGCTTAACCGACTAAGCCACCCAGGCGCCCCCCTCATTTTAGTTTTTAATAAGAAAATTAATTAGAAAAGAGTAGTTCCGCAGCAGGTCAGAAACAAGTGAACTGAATTAGAGGCCTGAGTCTCAGCTTGAGTCTCTTTTCCAGAGTCAGCAACCATCTGGCGCAGCGCCTCCAATGCCACAGTTGGAAAAACCTAGGCCCAAATTTGTCACATACAATGCGGAAATAGGACTGCCTGTAAACATTTCTGAGGAAGTAGTTTAAATAAATATTTAAAGAATATTCAGGGGCACCCCAGTGGCTCAGTCAGTTAAGCATCTGACTTCGGCTCAGATCCTGATCTCACAGCTCATGGGTTCAAGCCCAGCGCCGGGCTCTGTGCTGATAGCTGAGAGCCTAGATCCTGCTTCAGATTCTGTGTCTCCCTCTCTCTCTGTCCCTTCCCTATTTGTGCTCTGTCTCTCTCTCTCAAAAATAAATAAATATTAAAAAATTTAAAAAAATTTAAAAACAGTTTACTAACTTCACAGCACTCATTTATCTTCCCAGCAGCAGAATAAGGGTTTACTTTCAGCTCAGTGATTCTTATGAAATCACCACCCACAATATTTTGTGTCCCTGACTAAAAGTCAAAGGAAAAAACTGACTAATCAAATGCAAGCTGACAGTAAGTCAAGAGTACCTCAACAAACAAAGATCAAAAGTAGAAAGCACTGTTTCCATTTTTATAAATTATATGATCCCAGGAGCTCCTGGGTGGCTCAGTCAGTTAAGCATCTGACTCTTGGCTCAGGTCTTGATCTCACGGTTCGTGAGATCGAGCCCTATGTCAGGCCCTGTGCTAATGGCACGGAGCCTGTTTGGGATTCTGATTCTCTCCCTCTCTCTCTACACTTCCCATGCTCTCTTGCGCTTTCTCAAACCAAACAAACAAACAAACAAACAAATAATATGATCCCAGATACATGTAGCTAAAGAGCAGGTTAAAACGGAAATACACTAAAATTAGATTGTGGTGATGGTTACACAAGTAGGTAAATACACCAAACACCACAAATCTACAATGAAAGAAATTGGAATACTGGTTGCCCAGGGTGGGGAGTACAGACAGAAGAGGGCACAGTGGAACATTCTGGGTAAGAGAAATGTGTTACATCATGATTGTTCCATGGGTTACATGGGGTGTATGCATTTGTCAAAACTCATAGAGCTGCACATTTAAGTTCTATGTGCAAATTATAGTTCAATTTTTAAAAAGAAGCCATTAGTAGCATATGACAAAAATGAGCTTGACACATATTTCTAAGGACATACCTGAGCTTCATCTCCAGTCCCAGATGCATCCTTCGAATACTGTAGAAACTGTGCCACATAGGTCATGATCGACTTTTCATCAGGATCGACAACATCCACATCTGCAAGATGCACCATGCTATCAATTAGCAATAGATGGGATTTGCTATAATGACCACCCAAGAACGGGCCATGCCATAAGGCAGCCCTGGAATAAACCAAAGCAGTTAACCAGCCATGCACTCTCTGGTCAGTTGCCCTTGCTCCAAGCCTGTGCCCTGGCTAAGAACTCAGATCCAGAGTCAGAGATGAGTTGAATCCCGGCAGTAATACAGGCACAGCCTCAATTTCCACCATGCACATTGTATGTAGAAGGGGAGAAGTAGTCAGGGAGAGGGGAACAGAGAAAATACAGCTTTCCTCCTTCCAGAGACACGGTACGGAAACTCCTCCAGGAGTGTAGAGTGTGGGAACACACAGCAACTGGAACCCATTCCTGTCATACGAGTCTCAGTATGTACGTGTGCAATACAGCATTTCCAAAAGTGTATGTGCAATGGGAGACTTACTTAAGACATCTGCACGATTTTATTTGTTCATTCATGGAACAAACAGAATTATGACAGCCTTCTTTGGGCCAGTCTTTGTGCTGCATTAACAAAGTCCATGGTGAAATAAATTTGGAAAATGCTGAATTTAAACAATAGTAAAACATATTATAAATTCCTTAAGCACAGAACTCCAGACATATAATAAATTAGAGATATCACAAAATCACAAAGGGATCAAAATATGTTATAGGCAAAATGAACACATAATTTCGGGCTGTCTTTGGATACATTGCCAAAACAACTATGAAGATAATAAAAAGGAAATCATTTGTGTGGGTTTTTTAAAAATTTTTTAATGTTTATTTGTTTTTGAGAGAGAGAGACAGAGCGTGAGCAGGGGAGGGCATAGAGAGAGGGAGACACAGAATCTGAAGCAGGCTCTAGGCTCTGAGCTGTCAGCACAGAGCCCGACACAGGGCTCAACCCCATGAAATGTGATATCATGACTTGAGCCGAAGTCAGGAGCTTAACTGACTGAGCCACCCAGGCAACCTTTTTGTGTTTATTTATTAATTCAGTTAAAACAAACTCATCAAATATTTACAGAGTCAACAAATGCAGGTCACAAGCAAGATATGGAAGGCTCAATTTTTGCCCTTATTCATTCAACAGGTGGATGTGAGACACTTTAGTAGATGCTAGATGCCTAAGACATTATCTGCCCCTCAAGGAGCTTACTGTTAGGAGAAAAACAAACAGCAAACAAATATAAAACACTATGCACGCTTCAACAAATGTGTTTACTGGACCCAAGGACTATTCTAAGCAGACTGAGGGAGAATGTGAATCTACTCTACATCCAAATAATAAAATTCCATACATTAGACACATAAAAGACATCAATAAAAAGGTAGGGGTGGAGTTTCAATAAAGGAAGGATCTCTAAGAACTGAGTTATTCTTTACTGAAAAAAAAGGAAGTAAAAAAAGGTAAAAGTACATCGAGAGATACATAAAATAATTATACTGCCTTAACTAGATGTTTCTTTTTAAAAACTTCATTGTATAAAACAATTAAAAATAAATAAAAACATTATTATATATGAAGCTATGCACAGTGACTAAATGTTTTAATAAAATTTTCAAAAGATAATTCTCTTTTTCAAATATGACAACAGCATTTGGTTTGCATAAATAATGATGTGTTTCACATTTTGAGCTACTGTTTCAGCTACATAAAGTGAATTATGGACAATCATTTATACAGTGGAAATTTGGCTTTTTTATGCTGTCACATTATTTGCCTAATTACTTTCACATACTAAAACAGAAAAAATATTTTACACTAATAAAGATTTAGAGAATGACAATGTGAGAAAAGCATTAAAAAAAAAAAAAGAACAGAAATCAGACAAAGGAATAAAACAAACCATGAGGAAAAACAAAGAAAAGAAAAAAAGATAATGAAAAGCCAAAAAGGAAAGAGAAAAGACAAAGAAAGGGAGAAAAGGAAGAAAGAAAAGGGAAGCAAAAACAAATAAGGAGGTGAAAGTTAACAAGAATTATTAACAAGCAGCATGAATCTAGAGAATTGACAAACCTAATATATAAAAATATGGAACCATTAGGCTCTTTTTTTTTTTAATTTTTAAAATGTTATTATTTATTTCTGAGAGAGAGAGAGAGAGAGAGACAGCGTGAGCAGGGGAGGGTCAGAGAGAGAGGGAGACACAGAATCTAAAACAGGTTCCAGGCTCTGAGCTGGCTGTCAGCACAGAGGCCGACGCAGGGCTTGAACCCACGAACCGTGAGATCATGACCTGAGCCAAAGTCGGAAGCTTAACCAACTGAGCCACCCAGGCGCCCCACCACTAGGCTAACTCTTCACTTAGAAATACCACCTAATTCAACTGAGGTCCAAGAAGGCTAAGAACCAGTAGCAACTCGCATAACTAGTGCCCAGATCTGAGCTTCTAATCCCATTCTCCAGTCAAAGGAACCGGTGCTCCTTGGGGAAATGGTTGATCCCAGAATGGGGGGAGGAAACATCCAAGATGAATAAGCCTGGAGCATCTTGTAGCACCAGGAAATAAGAATGTGCTCAAAAGCAAACAAGGAAACGCCACACTGATGGGAATATGTCAAAAGGGCACAGGAGTTAGCTGAAAGAGCTCTTGATGGCTGAAACTTTGAGTTACAAAATATTTTTTCAATTTGAGCAATTAAATGAATAAAGTAGTATTAGATTACGACCCACAGTAGAAAATGAAATGTCCAGAGCCCATATTGATAAACAGTTGGATAAATGAATAAATGGGGGAGAGGGTAGACATAGCTCCTACAGATGACTACCAAGTAATTATTATAGATAACCCGTCCTCAAGGAGAGCTAACATAACTCTCCCAAGTGTCCGCTATGCATACTGACTTCCCAAAGACAGAAACAAAAACATAGCTTCACAGGGGAGAACCCTGACAAACACTACCTCAACCAGGTCATTTTTTTAATTTAAAAAAATTAAATTTTATAAATGCACAATCAAGTAAAATATATTAAAACAAAGGTAATAAACACTCAAAACTCACCACTTCCCAAATATTTTACTACATTTTACTGTTATCTATGCTCTTGAGGTTATTTACCTCTGTGGTACCTGCATGATAGAAAACTACATAATGGTGTGTTGGGGTTGCACGTCTTTTCCCTACTCTGTGTTCAGTGACTTCACACTGGAATCACCCATGGTGGTTGTGTTCAAAGCACACACATACACAAAAATCAGCAAATGAGGGCTTGATTTCTTGTATTGTTGATTACAGAGAAAGAGATGGAGAAAGTGTTAATAATGCATGTTAAGCTTAAAAGCGTGTCCCGTGTAGGGCTACTTGGGTGGCTCAGTCGGTAAAGCACCTGACTCTTGATTTTGGCTCAGGTCATGATCTCACCGTTTGTGAGATAGAGCCCCAAGTCGGGCTCTGCACTGACAGTGTGGAACTTGCTTGGGATTCTCTCTCTCTCCCTCTCTGCCTCTCACCTGCTTGCGTGCTCTCTCACACAATAAATAAACTCTTAAAAAAAAAAAAAGTCTATCCTATCTAGAGCTGTTAAGTTGAACAAAAAATTGAGGAAATATTCTCCCAGTATTAGATTCAGCAAAAAAGTCATTCACATGTTGAAGAACAAGTGAAGTTCTAACAAACATCTTTATTGTCGTACTTACTCATGAACGTAAAGGCAATTATTTACCAACATTCATGTTAGAACTCCACGTGACCAGCAATTGCGACCATAAGTTGGCTGCAGATGGATACAACAGTTTGGTGAAATTCAACAAAAGCATTTTGGGGCTATATGGAATTTATAATCAAGTCAATCACATATTTTCTTATTATATGTAAACTGAGTGCTACACGTGCTTTATATTAGTAATATTTGTGAAAGACATGTATATGTATCCACACACTCAGGCCAACACACACATCGTCCTGGTGACCCAGTCACACATTTACCTACACACCCCTGGTTACAGCGCTGAAACTAGAATTTGTATTTCTTAATTTGTTAGTTCATTATAATCCTCACTAATCCTATACACCTCTTTTATGAACTTACTGGGATTTTTAATACGCTTTTGTACATTAAGAAACAACACAATCCACATTAGAGTGCTTTTCCTAAGAATTAAATCATCCTAATCTTAATTTTATGAAGTTAACATAATCATCTCTTTGAATATAACCCGTAGTTAGGATTTTGCTGTTGTTAACCATACCACACAGCGTATTGAGCATAATCACGGCCAACCTGAGCCAGCCATAGAAGGAGTAACAAACAAACAAACAAAGAGTTTAAGTCTTCAAAGAAATTCAGCTCTATGTACGGGGAAAGAGTGGAGAGCAAGAAATACGTTAACTCAAAGAAAGGTTTTACTAGAGAGATTTTAGAACAGAATAACAGAATCAGGGGAACACAATAAGAAACGCAATGAAAGAAAATCAAGACAAAGACTCAAACTATTCCCAATAACAGCACCGCTTGCTTTCAGCTGTGGTGTCATCCCTTCAAGTACTGAAGTTAACGAATTGGTAGGAATTCCTAGTGTCATGACATTTAATAAAGAGTTGAAGTTATTAAACCCTCCAGGGTGATAACACCGTTATGTTTATTTATGTAGAGATACTATTTCCCAGCCAACTTCACACCGGACAGTGTTTTAAAAAGAAAGAAGCTTCTTTACCTTCTGGTTCTAGCAATTTGGGAATTTTAAATTCCCGTTCAGCAATTCCAAAGGCGTCTTTCAGATTGTCTTTGTTGGATCTGTGCTTCACTGTTTTCATGTCAATCAGGTCTGGTCGCAAGGCATGAATGACAGCCAGAAAAGCCATCCCATTTCTCCAGCTTGACTTAAAATCTGTCACATTGACAGATTCACACCTATTGCAAAAGGACAAAAACATGAACAACACTATTTCAAAGGATATGTCAAAACACATCCCCCATATTCAATAGTAGTTAAAACAGATTTCAACTGTTCAAATAAATCAAATAAATCACATATTCTAGGAAAATATCTTATTTTAACCTTGTGGCCAGATTAAAGTAAAATGCCAGGTTTTATGAGGCTCTTGATACCATAGAACATTCGTTCTCAGAGTGCAACCCCTGGACCAGCAGCGTCAGCCTCACCTGGGCTGCAAGTGAAAGAAATACAAACTCTCAGTCGGACCCAACCCCAAACCTACTGCATTAAACTCTGCAGGCAGATCTGAAATCTGTGTCTTCAAAAGCCCTGCAAGCGACAATAGTCACTCACTCAACTTTAATACTCTTCATTCAGGAATCTGTTGGCTCAACCCTGACTTTAGACCTCTCCATGCAATTACGTTCCTTTCACTAGAGGAAACAATTTCTTTTCTCATCAGAACAAAGTATATGATATATTGTGTCGCTTCAATGGTCAGTAGCTTATCACTCCTTTGCTTAAAACTAGTCATCACAGATGAATGGATAAACAAAATGTGATGTACAGATAAAGTAGAATATTATTCAGCCCTAAAAGGGAAGGACATTCTGTCACATCTTACAACACAGAAGAACCTTGAAGATATTATGCAGAATGAAAGAAACCAGTCACAAGAGAGCAAATCCTATATGTTTCCACTCATTTAAGGCATCTAGAGTAGTGAAATTCATGGATAAAGAAAAGTAGACCACCAGCTACAGGAGGGAAGGATGGGAGAGAGTTTTAGTTTTATACGATGAGAAAAATTCTGGAGATGGATGGTGGTGATGGTTACGTGACAATATGAATGTACGTAATGCCACTGAGCTGTACACTTAAAAATGTTAAAATGGTAAATTTTATGTTATGTATATTTTACTACAATAAAAAAAAGCATTTAAAAAAACAACAACAACCCTGTCAGGGCACCTGGGGGGCTCAGTTGGTTAAGCATCCAACTCTTGATTTCAGCTCAGGTTGGGATCTCACCATCATCAGATTTAACCCTGAGTTGGGCTCCACATTGGGCATGCTTACAATTCTCTCTCTCTCTCCCCCTCCCTCTCTGCTCCTCTCCCACCTGTGCTCTCTCTCTCTCTCTCTCTCTCTCACACACACACACACACACACACACACACACACACACACCCCTGTCATAGCTTATCAGAATAACATCTCTCAGTCTGACCCACAAGGCCTCACACGATTTGGCCCCTGCCTACCTCTTCCACCCTTGCTTCCCTCTCTTGAAACATCACAGCCACCTTGGCTTCTTTCCTTTCTCAACACCATGCTCTTTCTTTACATTTTATTTTAGAGAGAGAGTGCAAGCAGGGGTGAGGGACAGAGGGAGAGAGAGAATATAGAGCAGGCTCCATGCCCAGTGAGGAGCCGGACATGGGACTCACAGGACTCCATCCCACCAACCTTGGGGTCATGACCTGAACCAAAAGCAAGAGTCGGATGATTAACCAACTGAGACACCCAGTACCCTCCATGCTTTTTTTAATCCTTCTGCGGGGTGCTCTTTCTCCCAGATCTTTATACGCCTGAAGCCTTCTTCTTCAATCCTCACTCAAAGGTCTCCTCCTCATAAAGGTGATCCATGATCGCCTCAGATAAAACCACTGTTCCACCTCCGACATTCCCAATCGTCGTAAGTCCTTCCTCACCTTCCTGCCAACTGTAGTTAGGACACTGATTGGTCTGCTGGAGGCCAAGCCCCTGGAAAGCAAGGGCATGTCCTTCTTGTCTGCTGCAGTAGACTCATCCCCAAATCGTATCTGGCATATAAATGTGCTTAATATATAGATTTCAAATCATTCCATCAATCACGATTCTGTATTTGACAAGGGATCAGTGAAGATTCTTTAAGAGTATAGTTGCCTATGTGGGAAATACTCCAGAATATTTAGTATTTTCCTTTAGTATCTCACAAAAAAACCCAGAAGAAATTCAATAGACTCATTGAAGGTACAGATCAAATGATAAAAACCACTTGAGAAATAGTCAACTTCAGATGGCCTGAGCTTTCCTGAATCTCTTAGGAAAAAATGCCTGAACTATGACTGTGATAAACTACATGGTATTCAGTGACTTTTGCCTTGTTTAACAAATATTTATGTGGTCTATACTTTGTTCAGAAACTGTTCTAAATACTTTTTTAAAAATGATTCTTATAATACACATAATAACGTTATGAAGTGTTAGTATTATTCACAGTTTTATGATTGAGGAAACACAAACACAGAGAGATTAAGTATCTCAAGTCACCAGTTAGAAAGTGCTGGGGGCCAAGACTCAAACCCAGGATCTCGACATCAGAACCCTAAGCAAAACTGGCTAAAGGGATGGCTGGGGCTGAGGGCAGGGCACAGTGGGGATCAGAACCAGCTAAGCGCTGACTGGCAGACACAGCCCTTACTAAAGCCTCAGGCTGTAAGGTCGGCTCTGCACTGAGGAGAGACACCAATCCCACAAGGAACATGCTGCTGCCAGCTGTTAGAGACGGTGGGTTAGGGCTCCAGAGTGACTGGCAGGATCTCAGCTCATTTAGAAGTTGCAAACTTGGTCCTTGATTCATCTCCTTCAGAAATAAGAAAACACAGGGGCGCCTGGGTGGCTCAGTCGGTTGGGCATCCAGCTTTGCTCAGGTCATGATCTCGCAGATCATGGGTTCGAGCCCCGTGTCGGGCTCTGTGCTGACTGCCATCTCAGAGCCTGGAGCCTGTTTCAGTCTGTGACTCCCTCTCTCTCTGACCCTCCCCTGCTCATGCTGTCTCTCTCTCTCTCTCTCTCTCTCTCTCCTAGAAATAAATAAAACATTAAAAATTAAAACAAAAAAGAATGATATACTACATCTTGGTAAGTTTAGCACAGCTCATAGTTAAAAAGTAAGGAAAGACACGGGGAAAAGATAAACTGTGGTAAAATACTTGAACTTTGAAATTGTTTGAAATTTCCTTACAGATAAATGAAACAAGTCTGAATACGATTTGATAATGCTCTTCACACATGCTATTATTTTGGAATAAACAATGTAGAAAACAGATGTAAAACCATCTCTAGAAGATTCAAGAAAAAGTCCATTTGCTATTTGTAAAACTTTCTAAGGTCTGTATGTCTTTTTGTCCCTCACAAAATATAGAGGATGCATGACCACTAAAGGAAGGTAAGGCTGGAGGCAGAAGTTAACATCCTAGCCTTTTACAGGGAAGAAGTTACTTAGAAACCCACCATTTGTGAGGCCTTAGCGACACAGTTATGCCTCTATTTATGCAGACAATGCTATGATGGGACAAGAAAGGCCTTTTGAACTCCACAGCTCATCTCATGGGGAGTTCTGCATCCTAACTCCGTATTTTCCCTAAGTCCCATCCCAGCAAGTGTTTAAAATGAAAATGTCTGCCAAGAGCTAAAAAAACTTTTTCTTTGTAAAATAGAACTTCTGAATATTAACTTCCTATCATCATCCCCACTTAAAAAAAACCAAAAACCTCCCATTTTCTGGCTTCTGTTCCCTAACTGAGCTACGAATTTCTAAACAATGGGGACTGTGGTGTTTTAATGTAGTCCTATACAATTCGAAGAGATAATTCTATGTGTTGATTACTTATTCCTTCATTTGTTCATTCATTCATTCAGTACACATTTATGGAGTGCCTACCATGAACTTACATTATGCTAACTTCTGGGGATACACAGTCAATAAAAATATAGCCCTGACTTTTAAAGAGCTCCTAGTGTGGCTGAGTTCATGAACCTCTATATTTGTAAGATTCACTCCAAGAGAAAGGAGGATAGTAGCATTTTCCTTTTAGGAGAGGGAAGTGTTCAGATGTGTGTTATACCCGGTTAGCCTTATTTTCAGACCCAGAGTCAGTAAGGTTGTATTAGTGGGTAAAGCCACCCTATGTATCTCTGTGGTCAGAGCAAACTACTTACAGGGCACACTGCTCCTGAGCCCACAAGAGAAGAGCCTTCTTTGCAGACATCTGCCATCTTTCTTGGGCTTTGGAGCATTTCTTAGCTGGAGGACTTGAGGTAGGAGATGAGTCAGCCACACTCACACTGTCCAGGGAAGGCTGATGGTAATTGCAAGAAAGAGTCCGGGCAAGCTCTTCAATCTAAGCAGCACATAATAACAGTCAACACATACAAATCATTAAGTTAGCAGCATTGAGGCAAAACCTTTAGCCAAAACAAGACCTAAAAAGTATATGTAACAGTGAGAGTCTACTCATGGTGGAACAAGCACTAGACAAATCCTTGAACAACAGCATTTGGAATGTGGGGCTACACTTAGCCTTTCTTTCAGTGGGCTTGCATCACTCCTGCTTCCATTCCACCTTGAGGGCAAGCATCTATTCATCCCATCCCCCTGATGTGCTTACAAAGTACTTGCTCAGCGCTTACAGAGTGCGTGCTCAATTCCTGTCACTCTACTGAATTGACCTATGTTGGAATCCTAGTCTAGAATGTCTTCCAAGAGACTGGGCCAATTAGAATGCATCTTTGAATACAAACCAATAGGAAACAAAAACACATGCAGAAAAAATAGTCAAATATATAAGAGGTAAGCCCTCAGGGGTTCCTGGGGGGCTTAGTCGGTTGAGCGTCTGACTTCGGCTTGGGTTATGATTTCACAGTCCATGGGTTCGAGCCCTGCATTGGGCTCTGTGCTGAGAGCTCAGAGCCTGGAGCCTGCTTCAGATTCTGTGTCTCCCTCTCTCTCTGCCCCTCCCCTGCTCACTCTGTCTCTCTCTCATAATAAACACATAAAAAATTTTGTTTAAAAAGAGATAAGTCCAGGGGCGGCCGGGTGGCTCAGTCAGTTAAGCATCTGACTTCGGCTCAGGTCATGATCTCACGGTTCATGGGTTCGAGCCCCACATCGGGCTCTGTGCTGACAGCTAGCTCAGAGCCTGCAGCCAGCTTCTAATTCTCTGTCTTCCTCTCTCTGACCCTCCCCTGCTCATGCTGTCTCTCTCTCTCTCTCAGAAATAAATAAAACATTAAAAAAACATAAAAGGAGGTAAGTCCTCAAAAAGAAAAAAATTTCCATCCAGTATGTAAAAAATAACCCCATTAGTCATTTAAGAAAGTTAAATGTATGCAAGAGCACAGTTCCTTCATTTATAACACAGGCAAAAAATTTTAAAAGACAGCATCTAGTTATGTTATCACCTAGTGAGAATATGAGAAACTGGATTTTTACATATTGCTGGTAAACACAAAAATTGTCCAGGTTTTTTGGAGGCAGTCAGATAACACCTATGGAAAACTTTAAAAGACAAATCTACAGACATATTAACAAGTATTATTGAGAGAAGTACACATACTAATACTTAATAATAATAGATTATTAATAATTAATAGATTCACCAGGCAACCAGTAACAGTAGATGCGACCAACACAATTAATAAACTTGATCTGATTGGCATACTCCATTGTACCTAAAATGGCAGAATCAACATTCTTTTCAAATTCATATAAAGTATTTACTAAAATTGACTATGCTGAGTCTTAAAGCAATCTTCAGCATTTTTTGAAGAACTGAAATCATTAAGATGATACTCTCTGACCACACTGAAATTAAGCTAGAAATCAGTAACAAAGATACAACAAACAAAATCCCCAAACATTTGGATATTAAGCAATAGAATGTTATAGAACCCATAGGGCAAATAAGAAATCATAGTGAAAATGAAATATCTTGAACAGAGTGAAAATAAAAATATCGGCTTCATGGACTAAACAATGCAATATCTTAACAATGCCAACTTTTTTCATCTTACGCATTCAACAAAATCCTCATTAAAATTTCAACAGATTGTATGTATGTAAATTAACAAGTTATTTATAAAACTCATATGAATATCAAATCAACATGTTGTGTACCTTACACTTACACAATGGTAAATGCCAATTACACCTCAATTAAAAAAATTATATGAAAATGCAAAGAGCAAAGAATAACCAAGATAATCCTAAAGAACAAGTTGGACACTATCATATATCAAGACTTTCTCTAGAACTATAGAAATTGATATTGTATAGTACTGGTGCCATGATAAATAGAACAGAACTTGATGGAGCCAGACATATATGGTTCCTTGGATTTTAAAGTTACTGATGCTATAGTACAGTAGGAAAATGATGGTCTTCTCAATACATGATGTTGGGTCACCTGGATAGCCATATGGGAAAAAAAAATTTTCTTGATTGCTTTAACCAAACATGCTCACAAAAATTCAGCTCTGTACCTCTAATTTTACATTTTACTCTAAATGTAAAATATGAAACGAGCTTTTAGAACTGTGCTGTCCAACATGATAGTCACTAGCCACATGTGGCTATTTAACTTTAATTAATTTCATTTAATTTCAATGAAATAAAATTTAAAATTTAGTTCCTCACTCATACTAGCCACATTTCAAGTGTTCAAATGCCACAAGAGACCAGTAGCTACTGTTTTGTATAGCGCAGTTACAGATCATTTCCATCACTGCAGAAAGTCCTATTGGACAGAACTATTCAAGAAAAGAGTGTAAGAAAATATCTCCATGATGTTGGCAAAGGAAAGATTTCTTTATAGGACATAAAAGTACTAGCCACCAAAGAAGGAAGTTGATTAATTTGAACTACATTAAAATCATGGCTGTCTATTCATTAAATGATTGAGAAGGCAAGCCACAGAATCAGAGAAGATACATGCAATTTATATACACTCAACAAAGGACTTATATCCAGATCTAGATACAGATACATAGATACAGATAGATATAGATATAGATATACACTTATTTTTGAGGAGCAGAGTGGGAGCAGGTGAAGGGGCAGAGAGAGAAGGAGACACAGAACCTGAAACAGGCTCCAGGCTCTGAGCTGTCAGCGCAGAGACAGACACAGGGCTTGAACCCACAAACTATGAGATTATGACCTAAGCCAAAGACAGACACTTAACTGACTGAACCACCCGGGCACCCTAGAATACGTATTAAAATTTCTATAAATCATCACATGCAATAGCAGAGCTAAAATTTAAAATTTTTATTTAAAAAATTTTTTAAATCCTCCAGTACTTGTGAGGATTGGAGAGAGAATTCCCAAACTCTGGTAACAGTGTAAATCAGAGCAACCATTTTGAAAAACTAATTGGCACTACTTACCAAAGCTAAAGGTCACATGCCTTATGACCTAGTAATTCCATTCTTAGATATGTATACAAGAGAAATGAGGGCTTGTACCACCAGAGGCAAATATACAAGAATGTGCCTAGCAGCTTTATTCATAACAGCTGAAAACTGGCAACGAAAAAAATGCCCATCAACAGCGGAATGGTAAATAAGCTCTGGCATATTCATGCAGTGGTATATTTACGCATGACAAGGAAAAAGAAGGGAATCCAGTCAATGATATTATAACAGTGACGTTAACAAGACAGACGGTTGCTACACTTGTGGTGAACACAGCATAATGTCTAAATTTGTCAAATCACAAAGTTATACACCTGAAACTAAGATAACTAAGTCAACGATACTCAAAAAAAAAAAAAAAAAAAGGACCTACCAATGCAATGCATACTTCAACAAGCTGAAACTCATAAATGATGTGAAATAAATAAAGTGAAATAAATCTAACACAAAAGAGTATGTAGCATATGTAGTAAGTCAGCTCAGTTATAATTCCTTCATATGGAGGTAAAAACGCTAAGCTAAACAACGCTAGAGATCAAAGTGGTGGTTTCTTCAGGGAAGAGCGGGTAAGGACTGGGAGAAATACGTGGGAACTCTGGGATTCAGGCATCGTTTTCTATTTTTATCTTGGGTGATGGTTACACCAATGTATTTAATTTACAAGAATACATCAAGCTCTAAACTTAAGAGCTCTGCATTTTTCTCTACATATGTTATACTTCAACAAAAGTTTATTTACATCAGTAAAACAAAGCCCAAAAAAAGCAAAACTTAAGGCCTAACAATTTCATTTCTAAGAATTTGGCTCATGGAAATAATGAAGATGGTATGCAAAAGTTTTATGAGTAGTCTTTTTAGAATTGCTTATAATCATAAAACCATGAGCATTCTGACTGTCCACTAATAAAATATAGCCCTTTACAAGAGAACACCATGCCTCCATTAAAACCTATCTATAAATTCAGAAAGATGTTCATGAGAACAGGTTGAAAAGTTTGGATAGCATGACCATTCTGTTTAAGATACACATATATAAACAAATATATATGTTCATTCCTGCTACATGTATCATGGAAACCATATAGCAAATTATTTAGTGGTTATCAGTGAGGGGTAAAATTACAGATGACTCTATTTGCCTTTTATTATCTGTATTAAAAATTTTAATTATATTTCAAATATCCTGGAAAGCATGGAAGAAAAAATATAACAAGTGTCTATGAATTGTCAAATTTTAATTTTACCACATTTGGTTCATATTTTTTTAAAGAAATAAAACACTGATCCAGTTTAAGCCTTCTGTCCTTCCCCCTGCAATTCCATTTCCTTCCTCTCCCAGAGGCAAAAAACACAATTCTAAATTTGGTTTTCATCATCCTTGTGTATTTTATTCTCCTATAACTTCAAATGCAGGTATCCAGAAATCATATACTGTCTTGTTTTACATGGTTTAAATTTTATACAAGGTAGTTATGTTGGGTTCTGGTTTTTATAAAATAAGCACTTGCTTCCCACATAATTTATTTTCCAAATAATTATGGAGATATACAACATGCAACTTTTTAAGTAACTCCAGAAAACCTGCACTAATTCGGAATCCCAGGTCTGGAAGACTATATTTATCAATCCTAAGTATCATAAAGTCAGGAGCAAAAGTGCCTTTGGCGTTGTTTTCTTGATGTCATAGCACAATGACAAAGCTAGCACACAATGGGTGTTTAAATTATTTGCGGAATGAAATTAATCAATGAGTCAATCTTGGGACAGGACTCTAAATGCTGTGGGATTCTTAGATTGAACATGAGTCCTCGAAACTCAGAGATTCTACAAAGTTCAGTGGGTTAGTTCTCACAAATTTACTCCAGAAGCTTCCTACCATCTTCTGCCAAAGTAAGTAAACAATAATACGCGAAATTTTATCATGGCAGGTTCTAGTCAGACTGATGCTGATATCACAGATAATTCAAAATATCATAATTCAGCCTTCACTCTTCAACTGCAAAATAACATCAATGGCCAAAGGTCCACCCATCAAGATTTTAGAGTGTCCTGTTTCTGGAAGAAACTTCGGACCGAATCTTCTTGCATTACACTTATTTCACTCTGCAGTAATTAGAACAGAAATAACTCTCACATCATCAAATTACTTACATGAAAGTGCAGTATAATTGTCCAAATTAGACCAAGAATAATGGATGGGTTTCCATCTATAATATCAGTCACATGAATATTTATTAGCTTGATCTGGAAAAGAAGAAACATGGGTTAAAAGGAGAAGATATTTCATTGCATTAATTTCTACTGTGAATCTTCCAACGATATTCATACTCACTGATCGGTTTTTTAGGAATGTCAGGGCATGTTCTATATTGATTCTACACTGAAATGTATTAGATCCTTTGTCTCGAGGCTATGAAATTCAAGCAAAATATGTTAATTAGAAATATGAAAAAAAATTAATCAATAAAGGCTTTTTAATGTCACTTAAAAAGCTCACCAACTGTTGTCCTGACAGTACTTCAAGCAGGTCCAGGAGGACATGCCCCTTTTTAATGTCCGCAAATAGGTCTGATACAACCGACGGAGGAGTGTGCTACAAAAGATCACAAGACACACATTCATTCAAACTTTGGTCCATAAACATAATGACTTTAAGATTCTCATAAATGTGCTTTGTGTTTTCACAAAAAGCTCAAATTCGATAGTGATTTTTAATTAACAGAATGAGAGAGAACATAGTTCTATATCAAAGCATAAGAAAAGCAGTAAACTTAATTTATCTCATGGCGAATTTCCAGTAACACAACACACTTGTAGCTTCACTGAGAGCTTAAAACCTGTGCATAGAGGTGGCAGTAAAGACATTCGGATCAGCCAATACTCCCCATTGGGGAGTAGATCACATTTATGCAGTAATCTGTTTATGAACTTACCCTTGTTAGAATTGCATGGTGCAGGGATGGGGAGCCTGTGAGAAGAGGCTCATTCATTTTGTGTCTAGGTTATTCTGGGCCCTTGGCACCACCGACAGGCAGGATGGCACAGTGATTAACAAGGCCTCGGGGCACCTGAGTGGCTTGGTCACTTGGTCAGTTAAGCATCCGGCTCTTGATTTCAGCTCAGGTCATGATCTCACAGTTCATGAGTCCAAGCCCCTTGCCAGGCTCTGCCTGACAGTGCAGAGCTGGCTTGGGATCCTTTCTCAACCTGTCTCTCTGCCCCTCCCGCCACTCTCTCAACCTCAAAATACATACATAAACATTTAAAAATAAAAAAGGCCTCTGGGTCCAGACTGCCTGCGTTTGTACCCCAGCACTATCACTTACAAGCGGTGTGACATTAGGCAAGTCACATAACTTCTTTGTACCTTATTTTCCCTGTTCTTTAAAGAGGAATTAACACTGGGAGGTTGTAAAGTCACATAAACGTGATGCAGATTCATTACACATAACGAGCTTCGGACACTGTTCAACATATAACACTATGTACGCTGCAACATCATCATCACACTTGATAAAAGAGGTGTTGCTGCTTTACCTTACTTCTCATATTCTTAACAGAAGCATCTCTTTTCTGTGTTGGGAAAGAATAACAAATACATCTAAACAAGATCACGGAGACTGCGGCACATTCTTTCAACCTTTTACACCTCCTCAGTGCCATTCTGGGGACCCGAAGGGAGGGAGTAGGAGGAGTAATTTAAATATGTTTATAGTGGGGCGCCTGGGTGGCTCAGTCAGTTGAGCATCCAGCTTCAGCTCAGGTCACGATCTCATGGTCCATGGGTTCCAGCCCCACGTCGGGCTCTGTGCTGATAGTTCAGAGCTTGGACCCTGTCTTCAGATTCTGTATCTCCCTTCTCTCTCTGACCCTCCCCTGTTCATGCTGTGTCTCTCTCTATCTCAAAAATAAACAATACATTAAAATATTTTTTTAAAATAAATAAATATATTTATAGCTTTATTTGTTCTTTTTTTTCCTCACCTTTGCCAACTGTGAGTTTATCCAGCAGGTGAAAGTTTTCTTCTGAGTGTCTTCCTGCTCAGCTATTGAAAAAAGACAACAGCAGTTATAAAATAAGAAGCCTCAGAAACCCTTTTAAACACATCAAAGCTTCACTCTGAGGGTGTGTATGTATTCCACAGTTTTACCAGCTTTCTAGGACTTGGTCTAAATTTCAGATATTTGCTCAAGAAGTGTTCTGGAAATAGCATGTTCACAGGACATAATTTTTTTTATCGCTGCAGGCTAGCTGACAAGAGACAACGATTTTTAATACTTTTTATTGACAAAAGAATTATGTCCCCACGTGGCCTTGACAGTGCTGTATAAGGAATTGTGAGGAGAGAGACCTCCCAACCCAAAAGCATTCTCAGTCTAAGCCAAAGCCATGGGTATTGAAAGACAAACCCCATTAAAAAAGAAAAGAAAAGAAAAGAAAAGAAAAAGAAGGAGGTGCCTGGGTGGCTCAGTCGCTTGATTTTGGCTCCAGTCATGATCTCATGGTTGTGGGATCCAGCCCCACATCGGGCTCTCTTGCTGACAGTGAGGATACTGCTTAGAATTCTCTCTCTCTCTCTCTCTCTCTCTCTCTCTCTCAAAATAAATAGACATTTTAAAATTAATTAATTAATTAATATGGGGCACCTGGGTGCCTCAGTCAGTTAAGCATCTAACTCTTGGTTTCAGCTCAGGACATGATCTCACGGTCCATAAGTTCGAGCCTGGATCAGGCTCTACACTGACCGTGAGAAGCCTGTTTGGGATTCTCACTCTGTCTCTCTGCCCGTCTGACCCAACCCTCCCCCTGTCTCAGAATAAATCAAAATGAACCTAAAAAGCAAACAAACAATCATAAATAAATAACAGGCTCATAAAGTTGTGGGCAGTTTAGTCTTGACACTCACAGTATTTATCATGGAGGATATATTGTCACTGAATTAACTGTAAATGAGCTGCAATTAGAGCCAGAGATGCCTGGGCTCAAATCCTGCCTCTTGTCACTAAGTAGCTGTGTGACATCAGTAATTTCCTTAGGGAATAAGGTAACAAGCACTCACCTCTAGAGACTGCTAAGGATTCACTTGAGTAGTTCCCACTTTTACCCTTATTAGCAGGACAGGAGTCAAGGGGAAGACCCGAAACACTCAGGGTACGTCTTTCTCTCCTCACAGGGGCAGGAAAGGCCCTACACCAACTCTGAGCTCCCCACTCGCCTCCTACCCCCTCAGCTCCTACAGACATGTCAGCTCTGCATTCAAGGGTTAGCCTTGCACACCAGGACTGAGTTTCCATTTCCCCAGATGTCCTCCCCCAGTGTCAGCCCAGGTACCCACTCCTCCCTGGGCCCAGTGCTCACAGTCTTGTCACCACCATCTACCTCAAGGTCACCAGCTCTCATCCCAGCCGCCTCTGTCAGCACACGCGCACACATGCACAGGCTGCACACACTCTCCAGACGGTCAAGTTCTCTTCGCTCTCTCGCTCCGATATCCTTAAGACTCTGCACACGCCCCAGGTTTTCTCATCACCCACCTCTTCTTAACGTGGGAAGCCCTTCCACTGATGATGAACCTGTAGAACACCATCAGCAAAGTCCCCGGTGTCCAAACCCTCTTGGACAGGTGTTTCCTCTCCGTTCTCGCTGAAATCTGGCCTACTCAAGTGCTGGCTCTGCTTTCTCCTATGCCCCTTGCACCATGGGGTCCTTGCTTCTCACTTCCAGATCATTCTCCACTCTCTTTGTCCCCGAAGTCCTCCAGCCTTGACTCTCATGTGATCAGACCATCTCCACTGTCACAGTCATCTACTGACCTCTGTCATTCCTCATCATTTCTCAAAAAGATTTTAATTCCATCCCCCCTGTCCTTTCCCCAGTACAACCCCTCATTTTTGGCAATTTCAGCATAGAGGAAGGAAGCTCCTGGCCTCTCCATTTCTTTGGTTCTTCTTCTGCAACAAACTTGCCTTCTGCTCTGCTTCAACCACTCGCTGTCATGGTCATACCCCAGACCTCATCATTAACAACACCTGCAACTCCTGGCGATCTCAAGTTCAGGCATCTTACCTCTGAACAACAGCCCTTATCTTTTCAGTTCATTCTGTCTAGCGCCATTGACTCTGCCAGCTTTTCACTATGCCTCGCTCCCTCTGATTTCCTTCCTTTTCATCCTTTTCCATTTTCAATTCCATGATCACTTCTTACAAACACCCCCTTGTGCCTTCTTGTGTGTTCTTGGCTCTTCTTCACTACACTCTGCTCCCCCGTACTGACACTCATCCCGCTGAATGTGGCTGGAAGATCTGTCCCTCTGCTGACTGGTCTCATGTGACACCCACGTAGGCCCACTGCCCGTGACAGCAATTTCACACCTCCTCTCTTTCCTCAAACTTCCAACACCTCCTCTCCCATCCTCACTCTTCAGCTGAGAGCCTACTCCCAGGCCACACACACTCCCCGTCTAATCAACTTGTCAAAATGTTCTGCCCCTAGCCTGTTAGCACGCATGACCTGGCCTGCTCGGACCCGACGCTGATCCCTTCGCTCGTTCCCCAGGTGCCATCCCTTTACGCCTGCTCGAGGACATCATTTCCTCCTCTCTCTCCTGCATCATCCCCTTGTCCCCCTCTCTCTTAGACCATTCCCATCAGCGGTGATCCAAGCTGTTAATTCGCAACAAAAACAAAACCAAACCTCTCTGACCCCCATCCCCACAACTACTGCTTTACTTATCTGCTGCCCTTTATGACAAAACTCCTCAGACAGAGTTGCCTACGCTCTCCAGGTCCCCCCTCCTCGTTCTCTCTTAACTGAACTCAGGCCATGACCATTCCTCCAAAACTGCTCTCTCATCAAGGGCACCATGAATCCAGGTCATCAACGACCACCTTCCACTAGAACCAATGGCCAATTCTCAGCCTTCATCTTTCTGGACTCTACACTCTTGTTTTCCTCCTACATCACAAGCTGGTTTCTCTCCTCCTCACACTTTATATCCAATGCCTCAGAAAATCCTCTTGGGATTCCCTTCAGAATATATTCAGGATACGACCGCACCTCACCACCTCTACCTGGAGACCTGCACTAGATCCCCAGCAAGTCTCCCTCCTTCCAGCCTCGCCGTCTAAATACCGTTCTCAGTGCAGCAGCCAGAGTGATGTTGCTAAATCGTTAACTCACACTCCTTTGCTCACGATCCTCAAGGGCTTCTCACTTCACTCCTTAAGATGGATACAAAGCTTTGGGCACCTGGGTGGCTCAGCCAGTTAGGCGTCTGACTCTTGATGTAGGCTCAGGTCATGGTCTCACAGTTCATGAGTTCAAGCCCTACTGGCAGCACAGAGCCTACTTGGGATTCTCTTCCTCTCTCTCTGACCCTCCCCTCCGCTCTCTCTCTCTCTTTCTCTCTCCCACTCTCTCTCATTCTCAAAATAAATAAACTTAAAAAAAAAAAAAAAAGATGGCCGCGAGACTGACCTCCACCCCCTCTGCTCATCCCCCTTGCCCATTCCACTCCAGCCTCTCTGGCTCCCCGTTTTTCTCAAACTCCCTAGACATGATCCTACATGAGGGCTTCACCCCAACTGTCCTTTCTTCCAGGAGTGACTGACCTCCACCCCCTCTGCTCATCCCCCTTGCCCATTCCACTCCAGCCTCTCTGGCTCCCCGTTTTTCTCAAACTCCCTAGAAATGATCCTACATGAGGGCTTCACCCCAACTGTCCTTTCTTCCAGGAGTGCTCTCACTACAGATATCCCCACAAGCCTACTTCCCATCCTATTTAAGGCGATAACACCTCCAGCCCTGCTTCACTTTGTCTGCTCTGTTTTTTTCTATAGCAGTTACTACCTTTAAATATCCTACATAAGATATATATGTAGTATGTTTATTATTTAACGTCTTGCTCTTCTCCTAACAGAATAAAAGCACCACACAATGAGGTGTTGTCTGTGACCTATTCCGGGTGCCTAGAGGAACCAGGTCCAGAACAGACTCTAAAGAAAACATTTACTAAAAGAATAATAATAAATAATAACAAATATTTATGAATAATATTAAATCAATTAAAATTAATAATAAAACTAAATTATACTTAAATGTAAATGAATAAATAATAAGTTTTCCAATCATTTTACAGTTACATTTTATTTGCTGTAGAGACAAGGTCGAATCTACCTTACTGTGTTTATATTCCTTTTCTAAAAAATTATATGATCTACCTTCTAATACATTGTTTTTCTTTGACTCCTTCCACTCTGCTTTATTAATCTCTAGCTACCACAGTTATAGCAGACTGAAATTGTTGACATTACATCTAATTAGAGTTCTTAAAAATGTTTTAATCTAGGGGCTCCTGGGAGGCTCAGTTGGCTAAGCATCTGACCTCGGCTCAGGTCATGATCCCACAGCTCGTGAGTTAGAGCCCCACATCGAGCTCTGTGCTGACAGCTCAGAGCCTGGAGCTGGCTTCAGATTCTATATCTCCCTGTCTTTGTGCCCCTCCCTGGCTCACTCTGTCTATCTGTCTGTCTGTCTCTCTCTCTCTCAAAAATAAGTAAACATTTAAAAAAATTAATAAGAAATAAAAAAAGTTTTAATCTGATAAGAGCTCAGTTTGAGGAACTGGAGGAAATCTGAGTAAATGTATTTTCGGGTGTTTACAAGCATGGCTGATTAGAGATTAAAGATACACTTAGCCTTGTTGGATTTTTTTTTCTTATCTTTTTAAGTCCATTTCAATCTTCTGTATTACCAGCTTAAATTAGTTATAGCCCAGTGATTTACACAGTACAGGGTGCTCAATAATTGTTAACTGAAGTGAACTGAGTTCTGGCAAGCCAACTAGATAGTTTAGGCTTTTGAGAGTTATTTGTTTTATATAAATTTCACTTAGCAAAAGAATTACAAAGAACTGCAATTTTGTCCTATAATTCAAAATGTAACGAAATCTTCTACAATCTTTGATATGTTTTCATTCCTTTTTCTCCCAGTATCAGTAGATGAAACAACAATATTTTTAAACATACATATTAAACATTTAAACAT